ACCCCCTGTAATACCTGCCATGTAGGGGCGAGCCGGACATGTTGGCGGCGCGCAGGCGCAGACCCAGAGGTATTCTCGGCGGAAGATCTTCGCGGTCTACTCGGGCCAGCCTTCGTGCGCTGGCCGCCGCCGCGGGACCAACACCTCCCCCTCCACCCCGTTCGTGCTGGGGGTTGCTCGTGGAGGACTTGGAGACTTGCTTGCCTTGCGCGAGAGTGAGCGTCGAAAACCCCAACCCCCTTCATTATTGGCGCGGCTCCATGTATGTCTGTATGCATGTATGTGTGCGCACCACGTGTGCCGGGCTTGTGGCTGCGACGTGTCGTCGGCTATGTCCTTCTCGGAGGCCAGGGAGAATAGAACGTGGCCATGCTGTTTGGCGTCAAGCCGGAGGCAGTGGTATACTGCCACTCGGCTCCGCTCAGCAAGTGGCATTCAAAAGCGCTGCCACCTTGCTGCAGCATTCTAACTGTTCGTACTTACTAGCCGCGTCTGAGGTACAGCAACGGCTTGGGTGGCCTCTGGTGTGTGGCATCCCGGATTAAACAAGCTGGGCAGTGATTTGTTCCCTGGTTTCGTGCGACGGTTGCTCAAGATGATGCTATCAATACAAGTGCAACAGGGGTAGCACGAGCCAAGGCAACCAAAGAAGCAGATGTCTGGTACCCAGAATTTTCTTGTTCTTCTATTTGCTGCTGCCGCGACTTGAATGTCTTTGAAGGGTTGTCCCTCTTGAGCCACCTGACCTGAGCTGAGGTCCAGAAGAACTTGGGAGTTCTGCAATGTTCCACTCCACACCAGGGTCGCCCCCCGCACGAGATGGAGGCAGCAATTCATCTGGGCTTTCCAGATTGAATCAGAAAGGGAAGTGCTTGCAAGTTGCAGGCTTGGCAGTATGCTGACGGTTCAAGCTGGCGCCTGCACAAGGAGATGCGTGGAAGGCTAAGGCTTCTGGGAGAGCCAGTCTCCGACGAATATCTGCCTTGAAGTTTCAGCCCCCCTGCTAGGGCTGCTAGATGCCGAGGCATCACCGACCAGCGTGAGGAAGGGCTGGCAGCACTTGCCGAGCAGGCTGGGCTCCGACCAGTGGTTCATGATGGTTCATGAACCTGCTGACTTTTCGCTGCAGTACATGTTGAGATGTCATGCAGCCCAATCAGTGAGAGCTGGAGTGCCTTCAAATCGATGGGGGTCGCTCACTGCTCAGCTCGACATCATGGATGACCGGCAAATGCCTTCGCTGCATTCCACTTCTGTCTCACAGGGTACCTCGACAGTTCATGCCGGATACGTTTCAGACGGTACAGGTCGACCTTGCATGCGGTTCTGGATGCCCATAGCCGAAAGGGGCCACGGGTGGAACGACACAGACTGGACAGCACAATGCAAGCCAAGGAGCCTTCGACAAGGTCCCTGGAATCCTTACATGCCCAGCTTACCAAGCATCTTTGTTGTTTTTTTCTCTGGCGAGTTCTGATGCCCTCGCACCTGCGGGCCGCTGGCGAATGGTCGGCACCACCATGTCTGCACGCTGGGTTGCCGTGCTGGCGGCTGTGCTGGCGATAGCTCACGCAGGCCGAGCAGGAGTTGGGCCTAGCACGAAGCACTGCCCAAACTCCTGCAAAAGAAGCTGTATTCCCAACAATGCATGCTTGTTTACCTATTCCAGCTATCATCTGGTCAGTTAGGCCCTCGCAATGCCTGTGGGATCGAGTGCCAAGGGCCGTAAGCCAAAATCCACAGCAGTGCTCGGGAAACCTGTTTGACTGGTTTACTATTTACACGCCCTACTCGTACCGTGCGTTTTGTATCTTGATACTCAGCTCGTGTTTGTCCAGATGTCTGTGAAACTTCGTTTGCAGTCTCTTCCTGCGTTTCCGAGCAACCGTGGACCTGAGCTGCAAGGTGCCGGGGGCTCTCCTCACCTTCGAGCATTAGCGCAGGCCGTGGATGTGCAAAGCGTGCAAAAGGGTCGACAGGGCACCATTCAGCAAGCACTTTACAGCACGATCCTAGATGAAACGATGAGTCTTTACATCCAGACTATCTAGCGAGAGTTCCGTGTTCTGAGTCGGCAGCACGGCATGCTGCCAGCTTCCTGCGTAGTACTCCTGGCCAGTCCGCTAGTCATTACCTATCACGCAGCAGACGAGTTCCAAAATCCTCGGGGCTGGACTTAGTCCAGCTCAGTGCTGCACATGTGCTCTCTCGTTCTCAGGAGCGCTGGCTTGCATCCGACAATGGCACGAACGACACCAACAGCACCACTGCTTCAGCAACCACCACCACGACCACCACGACCACCACGACCACCACGACCACCACGACCACGACCACCACCGCCAGCACTACCAGCACCACCACGACGTCTGCGGCGGGAGGAATCGCAGACACCAATGACACCAACGACACTGTTGACACTAACGATACCAACGAAACCAACACTACCGGGACCACAAAGTCTGCCGAGATCACGATGAATGAGAGCCTTGGCGTCTCGAAAACGTGCTTAGCTTCAGCAGGCTGGAAGAAGAGAAAATTCACCTCCCCGAAGCAACAGCTGGTTACGTTTTACTGGGGCATCGACGTATGATTTCGCGATGTGGGCCAAGTGAATCTTCGTCTTGGGAGACCTGAGGATTCTCGGACTCTCCTTCGCCGGAGCCGGCTTGCTGCTCCTCGCCAGGGAGAATCTATCCAGAGACCCCTTATAGGGGACCCTTTTTAAGCCGACTTCTGGCTCTTTTGGACGGGAGAGGGTCTATATCCCCAAGGGTCCACCTAATTCTAACTCCCACTTTTGCATGCTACTGACTAGCGGCTCAGGCTCTGCGTGGCCGTGCATGCGCTGCTTGCACCGGCCTCCTATAGACTGGACCTGCTCATGGCAGCACACCTCTCCAAAAGGACCAGTGATGCATCTCGGACAGTTTTGGGCTTGTGACCGTGCTGGGTCCCAAAGCAACAGCTACCTTCACCATCGAGAAACTCGAACATGAAATCTCTGCCCCTAGAAGATTGAACGGGAAGCAGCACCGACATAAAATATGAGATTGTGCCACCCTGTTCCACATAAACGACACAGAGAATTAAAGACAATGTCCACCAGTAGCCAAAGCATCCAGCAACCTAGCTTCCTCAGGTTGTCTTCTCGCGATTGGCTACGGTCATACAGCAGCTTGATTTGACAAGATGCTTGTTGTCAACTTCAGCTTTTGCAAGAAGAGTTCAGTTTACTTGCTGCACCGAATGTAGTTGAGCAGTTCCTCCTCCTGGCTCTGCGCAGGTGGGCGATGATAGTCTTTTTGTTCTTTCCGGTCGCCTGTATTGCCCTGGCAGCCCAGCAGGCACGATCATCAAAGTTTTGGCAAATTCGACTGACTTCAGGAAATTCCTGGCTATATATGCCGATGAAATTGCGGTTGTGCATAGATGGTCTAGCGTCGGCAGTTAAGGGTCGTCGTTGAGGTTGCACCTGAAAGTGCCGGTTTCATCTTTCCAGGTGAGTAGCGACTCTCCTCGCCTGGCATCCCTGGGGAGCTTGGTGGCCGCTTGGAATTCCCAGATGTTCCTAGGGAACTCCCACCCCTACATTGTGTTATGCGCTGAAGTAACACACGCAAGGTTCTCGCAGTGTCAGTGCTGGAGGGCGGTTTATGAGCAGTCATGACATGCAAGAGAGGATGCTGCGATGCCGGCATGTCCGTGGCAGTCAGAGCAAGCCGAACAACCAAAGCGACCACAACGACCTCAACTGAGACTGTAGCGATCAGAGCTTCTACAAAAACAAAGAACAGCACAGCAGGACCATCGGAGTTACATATCAAGGCCTGGTGATGCCGTCATAGCCAGTGGTCATGGTCATTTCCTGTTCAGCAATCAGAAACCATATCAACCTTAGGCAGAGCTATGCAAGTCGGGCATCGTCAAAGTTGTTCAAAGTATACCTAAAACAGTGGCAGACATTCACACAACTGTGTTGCAATGAACGCCGAACGCAAACAACGACGATGAGAACTGAGGCTGTGACAATTTATGCTGGCAGCATCGGTTTGGCTCGAGCCGCCGTCGACTCCTTCCACTTCAGCTGGGTTTCGTTTCTTCTCTCTTTGATCCTCGGCTCTTTTGTACTTGTAGGTGGTAGGTCTATCTTGGCTGCAACTTTGGGGCACTGTTCTAGGACTGAAAGTGCAGCTCCAATTTGATGGCTGTTGACCCGCATACCATCTAGCATAGCCCATGCCTGCGCAAATCCCATATGCCATGCTGCTCACTGGGTAGGTTCTTCCATCGTTCTGAGTTCTAAGGTTGTAATATAATCCTCATCATACCGTAGAAGTGTACCAAGCGACATGGCCCCCTGTCACCTCCGATGCAGTTTTTTACGAATTTCGACGCAAGGGAACTGAAGAAAACCATGGCCCGGGCCGCAGCTGCCAAGCTATTATAGAGCCAGCCGAAGCTGAGTCAAGAAACCATCATTGAGCCCATCAGCTCGCGTTTGCGAAGGGTTTCTATACCGAGCCACGGCGAACTGTCAAAAGCCATGAGAACGACGAGGCTGAGAGTCGAAAGAATGAGGCGCTAAACCAATCGGGGCAGAGGAGAATGAACCGATTCGTGGTGCTTCATGGTTTGGGACCATCTTGAGTACGGGCTTGTGTTTCTGTTTTGTCAGCTCGAGAACAATTCTAAGTCAGTGATACCGTTCTGTATCTGGCCTTGTTAGGAGAACAGTTGCGACACATCCAGGCGGGATTCACACAAGCCTGTGCAAAAAAGAAGATGTGTCCATGACGTTGGCCACAAAAGCAAAAAACCATGTCCTTGAATTGTCAGAATTGTCGGCCATTTGGGGTGGAATTTGGAGCTCGCTCGGAGTCAGAAGCCCTTTTGGCCCCGCGCTCTATGACTCTGAGCGTCGCTGCGGATGCGATCGAGCACGGCCACGTGTGCAGATATGAAAGAAAGAACTCATCGGAAGTGTCACTGGTTTTGTCATGGCTGTCGCGTTGCACTGCGAGCGACCAGATGCCCGAAAACCCGTGGATGTGGATCCATCTGCCATGTTGAATTCTTCGAGCGGCTCCCACATCCCGGTCGCAACAGGACGTACGATCGCTCGATGCGTGCTGCAGTGAGTGTCCGAGCGGGACGGAAGATCGGGGTCGAGTGTTGTCGTACGATCGGCTCTGTACGTATGAAGTGTTTATTGGTGCACAGGCAACGTGTTCGTGCGCCGCCGAGGCTTGCCCTCTTCTTGCTGGGATGCTACTTCTGCCAGTTCGTGTGGTGGCTGGATCCTTTCAGCTTCACCTCCGTCTCTGCTGCCCAGCTGCGGTCGACATGCCGGGTGCGCATGGTACGGCGTGACATCACGAGGCACACAGACAGCTCAGGTTGTGATGCTCTGTGTCAGCGCGGTGCCCGGCACCGCCCTGGCCTTCCTCTGTGGCAGCTGGCAGGGGAGCGGAACCCTGCTCGCCGTGCTCTCTGGAGACCAGGCTGCGAAGTTAGGAGTTAGTCTAGTATCAACACAGCACGGCCGCGCACCACAGCACGGCAGGCGGAAGCAGGGCCAGCGCCCCTTGGTAGCAGAGAGGGCAAAGGCGCTCCCCTTGGAGAGACGTGCGGCGCGTGCGGTGCTGCGCGTGTTTTTTTAAAACCCACGTGGCAAGGTCTGCACTGCCTCGAACGAAACCGAAGCGGATCGCCTTGATTGCCAGCCTTGTCATCCTTGAACTTGGAGTGCTGGCGGCATACGGTGCGGGCCTGAACACGACAGATGGCACTTGAAGGGCTTTTCCGGCTGCTTTTGTCGCAAGGTCTTGCGGTTCGAGTGCTCACAACCTCCGACGATGTTCGCAATGTCGGATTTGTTCTAGTGGCTGCCGTGGTCATCCTCGATTCGATTGCCACTCGGTCAAGCGATGTTTACGCATGCTCAGATGGCCTGTTGACATTGGTTTTGTCACTCCATGCGGGGGGTCCGGGTGATGGCGTGGCTGACGTTGAAGCAAGACAGGTTTGGCTTGTCTGGGCTTTGGGCCTCGTGACCGGTGCTGCGCAGACAGCTCTTCTCATGGTGGCGGCGCGAGCTGCCGCCTGTGTGTGGGGAGATGATTACTGGCTCCTGGGCAACTTGTCTGCCTCTTGATGTGCTGTTTCCGTAGCTTTTTGATGCCAGCTGATTAAGTGGGCATGGTGCTTGCATTCAGCCTTCGTGCTTCAAGCATGATTTTGGTGAGCTGAAGGACATTCTGGCGTGTTCCTGGCGATGGTCGTGCTGTTGGCCCACATGGTGGTCGACTCCATGATTCCGGCACCGGACAGCCCAAAGGTGCTGGATGGTGTGTTGCTCGTGCGAGCTCGTCGTGTCTGCAAGCATGAAAGTGTATAGTAGGCTTTTTTGGCAAAGGTGCGACGGCAGCGCGCAGCAGCAGATATGTTGGAGACGCTACATGCCAGCATGGCAGCAGGACCTTGTGTTTTACTAATGACCTCTTAGGGGTCGTGGTTGCGGATCACTTTTGTTTCGAATCCGAGACAGGATCAGGATCAGGCGACCATGCCATCCCGGTGCCTTGGCATTTGATTGAGCCGCCTTAGGAGGTGCTTGGAAGTCGCTTCAGTCGCTCAAGGTGACGCTGGCAGCTCCTGTGATCGCAAAGTGGAAGCAGTGGCTCCCTCCGTCGCCCGGCCTGTTTTTTTTTTCATGTGTCTACCTTGTGGCAATCATTGCAAGCCGCTAGCCACTGCTTCAAGCCTGTGAGGTCGGTGCTGCTGGGAATCATGTGCTTATTTGCTGGCGAAGTGGCCCTGGTGACCTTACGCTTCGAGGAACCCGAAGTTTCCTGGTGCAACACCTGCGAAGCGCGCCCGCAGCAGTACTACGCTGGCACCTTGAATGGATTCAGCATGCAACCGCCGCGGCTGGAGCGAACGGTCTTTGTCGTCTCGGGAGTAACCGGTCAAAAGAAATGACGAGGAGTTTAGTGATGGCACACCGAGCATCTACTGTGGTGGGATTTAAAGCTTCCTTTTTCACTTCCTTGTCTGGAGACTTCGGAACAAGTCGCGACTCCTCGAGGCGTGGCCCTGGGCGCCGGCTTGGTGTATGCTGTGTCGCTGTATGGCTTGCGACGGTCGCAGCTGCAGGCATGGCAGTGGCGAATTCCACTGAACTGCAGCTCTGAAGTATGCCCTGCGTTTGAGGCCTTCGGAAAGAAGGGGCCGCTGCTGGAGACGGCTCCCTTGGGCCTTGCTCCGAAACTGAAAGCTGGAGGTGATGATGCGAGATATGAGCACGGTATGGTTCGCAAAGGTCTCCGATGGCTAGGCAACTCGAGTGCTCAGGTTGTTCCATATCTGTGCTGGGTGGGAGTTGCGGCGTACACCTCTTGGGTGGCAGACAGCTGGGCAGTGTCTATGCTGCACTCATGACCTCAGACCCAGTAGACAGCGATGCAGGTCTACTAATTTGATGCCATAAGATGGGCAGCTTTACTGTGGAGAGTTTGCGCTTCAGGTCCTCGTTCACGTTAGCCTCCTGCCTTTGATTCTGGGCTTATTCTTCTCCGCACATCATCGCTGGGTGGTGGATGACTTTCACTTGACACCGAGGCTACTCGAACCGAGTCATAATTCGTCTGTCTCGGGTTCAGTCATGCAGCGAATTTGCTGGAGGCCACCCGGCACAGCCAAGATCGCCCCAGAGCCAAGTGCCGGAGGCTGACATTGATACTTCGATGTCTCCAGGATTCTAGCACATCGAAAGTGAACTACAGGAGGACACTCTTCTCTTGCAGAGTGCAGATGCTGCAGGTACTGCAGGCGAGCCAGCGAGTGATGGTGGGACAGCTGCTGCCGATCCGGCTGATCCGGCTTCCAGTGGACCTGCAGGCGGTTCTTCGTCAAGCCTTGGCGAGGACGCGCCAGAATTCAGAACTTGCTCAATTTCAAGCAATGCCTGGCGTTCTCATGGCCTGAAGCAGGATAAGCCGAGTTGCTTGGGAAGGGTGCCTTGGACGGTGCGAATATGGCTGATGGCACTCCTCCTCGACATTGCTTATGTCCCAGCCCGAGCGTTTGTGCGCGCCACGTGCTTGCCATGCTGCTGCTAACTGCCGAAGAGCCTCTCTGAAAGATTGCGAGCCACGCTACATTCTGAGGGCGTGATCTTGCACTTGGTGTCGGAAATTCGCTTCCGATGGGTCGGCTGGAGCATCAGTGGCGGAGTTCTTGTCCTGGCGCTAACCTTCATGAGCAACCAGTAGCTTGGCAGAGCGGTGGTTCAGTTGCAGTCTTGGGCTCTAGTGACTTTACTTAAGCCGTGGCGCGCACTTGCATCTTATGGCGGCGTCATGGTGCCTGCAAGGATGTGGTTTGGCACCTTCCAGCTGTACCCAGAGCAGCCCATATTCTGGGGATTCATTGTACCATAGCTGCAGCGCTGCTTCAAAGTCTCTTTCCTGCAGCGTGGCAGCACAGGCGCTCATCCTCCTGGCTTGGGCTGGTGGTGTCTGGTACTTTGAGAACGACATGAAGGCAGGGCACTGGGGCACCATACTCCGCTCCTCGGCAGAAGTCGCAGCACACAACTCTGCCTTGCTCTGAGGTGGACAACTTTGCGATGGTTCTGCTCTGCGTCGTTGTCCTTTATCCGGCTGTTTACGTGGCAATCCTTGCGGTGCAGGCACATCCTCCCCTTTTGCGAAAAGCGAACGAAATTTGCACTTCGACCTGCAGGTTCTGCGGGATGCTAAATGGAGTCCCAAGGCGCCGCCACCCAGCGAGTAGGGCTATTCCGTGCCGTGGGGCTGTCGCATTGTCACCCTGGTTCTCGGAGGATGCTTCGACCTTTCGTTTTGTGCGGAATGCGCTCATCTTCAGCACGGTGGCTTGGACATAGACAAGAACGAGCTTACTGATATCTCTCAAGGAGTTAGCTTGTTAGCTTGGGCCTTGGGCTATGAGGTCGTCTACTTGGCCTTCCTTGGCGCCTTGGCCCTGTTGAACTGGGCTGCCGCACTTGGAGGCTTCTGCCTGCTGCTGATGGCGGCCATCATCGGCCTGGCCTTTTGGAAGTGGTTGCGGAACAATCGCTACATCAGCTACCGAGTGACTCTTCTGCAAGGAGGCAGCACACAAGCGGCCTGAAGAGGGCCATGATGACAGGTGAAGCTCGCCAGCGCTATCGCCGTGGCCTTCTGCGTCCTAGGGTCTGCCGTTGGAATCACCTTCTACTTCCAGAGCATCTTCGGAGGCTTCACCACAGCCGCCTGGATGCTCTGGACTCTGGAACCCAACCCGGAGCTTCACAGCGGCGGCTGTGCATCGCTGTGCCGTGTGAAGGTCTGCGTCGGGCTGACGCTGTTGCTGGCTGGTGCCGCCGCTTCGGAGGCCCGGACCCCGAAGCTGCCACAACGAGACTTTCGCTCAATCTCGATAGTTCCAGGTCTCAGATGCCCAGAGCCGAACAGCTTTGGAACAGCTTCGCGTGGAGTGCAGCCCCCAACGGATCTCAAGAGAGAGCGCATGTTCGGATCACAGTCCACTGGCACACTGCAACTCCTGCTTCTCCGAGATCGTCCAATTTTGTCTTCCCCATGTTCCGCTTCCGGGGCGGAGAACTTGCCAGGGCCCATTTCGACATATCATCAACCATGCAGGCCAGGACATTGGTACTAGTTACTAGTAGAGTCTGCCTCCATGCTTTTGGATGCTTTCTGTTCTCCGTTGCAAGTCATGCTTGAGAGTCCAGTCTCACACGTGGACTGGCGTTCGCGAGGCTCTGGGTGTAATCTCGGTCTGGGGACTGGTGGCCGCCGTGGTGCTGGATGAGCTTCCAGCCTTGGGACTCTTGAATCAGAATGTGTTAGAATTCGGGAACTCAAGCTTGTGACACTGGGTAGGGAAGTAGCTCGTTTACGGCAGACGAAGGCTGTCCCGCCAAAGTAACCAAGGAAGCTTTGCTAAAGCATCCCATCATGCTTTCGGCGCCATCTTTTTGGACAGATTGCGGATGTCATATCTCCGAGTGGCTTTCTCACGAATCCTGCAAGTGAGGCATGGTCGTGGGAGTGCTTGCCCTTATGGCGATCCTCATCCTGAGACTCGGCGGAACCATGCTCCAAAGCGCAGGACATGGTGGAGAGTCCCTCCAAAAGCTTGAAAAACCCACAGCATGGAGTCGCCCTGAAGCTCGAATCACAGCTGCGACCGCGCTGATCGAAAGATGTACAGCGGCTTCTTGAGATCAGATGTAGCCAGGGCTTGTAAGCTTTCTGTTGCCTCAGACTTCCTTGCCGTGCCTGATGGCCTCGGGATGCCTTGTAAGATCATGTCGTCGGTCCAATCAGCTGCTCCTGTCTACGAATTGACGCATACGGCTTTCCTGGCCAAGTAGAAGTTCTCGCAAGTGCTACAGCTGCTACCAGTACAGTACAGGTTCTCTTGCTCAGGTGGGCGCACCTGGTGGCCAGGGGTGGCCAACGCCGGGCCCTGGTCCTCGAACAGCCGCGAGCTAAGAGCGCCTGAAGACTTTGAGACTCGGCTTGGGCCAGTGCAACTGCCAGGCTGCCTCAGGCACAGCTGCTGGCAGCCGCGAAAGAGGCGCTGGATGGAGGCACCGGAAGCAATCCCTACAATGGCCTACAGTGTGGCAAGCGCAAGCTACATCCCGGGCTCGAGCACATGCTTTAAGACATGCACAGATTCCACTGCTAGCCGCCCACAGCGACACAACTTGCAGGCTCCTGTCGAGGAACCTATCACCCCGGAGGCATTACTGTAGGGCTCGTGAAGTAGTTGCCGTTGGGATGTCGCTCCTGCAGCGTGCCGCGGCCGGTTTCTTCAGGCAGAACCACTGGCCGATCAAGAGCAGCGCACGAAGCTACCTCGTTGATTGCTCGAAGGTCTATGTGAAAGCAGACAGCTTCGGCGGGGCTGGTAGCTATGCAGCCATACCCATCCGAAAAGGAGAACTGGTGGAGCGTGGCATTGTTCGACGCTTGCCCGTGGATGGGAATCACTGTCCATATGTGTTCACTTGGAGCGAGGACAAGACCGTGTGGGCCAGCGGCAGTGGCTGCTCCGTGTTTTACAATGCCTCGTTGGACGGCAATGAGAGCACGGAGATGAAAAGGTTTTTCGACGAGGATCGATTCGAAATTTATGCCCTACGTGACCTGCAACCGCACGAGGAGCTCACTCACCTTTACAAGAGTATGGAGTGGAGGGCGTGCTTTCAGGATCTGCGGCAGCCGGCGAACTCTTCAGAGGCAACTGTCGGTGCCTTGGAGCCAGGCGAGGAGAACCTGGTCGACTGTTCAAAAGTCGAGGTTCGTCCTGATGAACATGGTGGAGCCGGGGTTTTTGCAGTCGTGCCTATCAAGTGTGGCGAGCTTGTGGAGCGCGGCATCGTGCGGCGCCTGCCGGTGGATGGTAACGTGAGCCCCTACGTCTTCACTTGGAGCGAAGACAAGACCGTGTGGGCCAGCGGCAGTGGCTGCTCCGTTTTCTACAATGCGTCCCTCAGCGGGTCCGAAAACACAGAAGTGGTTCGCCATTTTGACCAGGACCGCTTTGAGATCATCGCCCTTCGCGACATCGAGCAAGGAGAAGAATTGACGCACCTGTACAAAAGCATCGAGTGGCGCAGCTGCTTCCGGGACCTGAAGGCACAGAGAGATCGCAAATAGGAACCCCTCGATCAAGCGCTCTCGAAAAGAGCTGCCCTCATGTTGTGTGGCGATGCGGCAGGCTTGCCAGTGCTTGTTATCCCTGACTTCGCTGAACTCGTCGCTTTGCGCTTCGCCCGCTGGGGCTCAAGCAGTCTCAAGCAGAGGGAGTGGGGCCGGCGAAGGATACCCAGACCCTTCTGAGATTCCAATTGCGAGGTCTTCAACCTCTTGAGCCGTCTTTTTCGATAGGGCTGTCCCACTGTTCTTATCCGCCGGTCAGCCGACAGCAGCTCTAGCAAAACGAGTTGCGGCATTCATCCATAGACGAAGCCTCCAGCTCCCGTAACCCGCCAGGCGCCAAAAGACTCCAGCCACTCTCGCCGCTCTCTTCCGTTGCCCGCTTTGCAATGAAGCCGATCCACCCAGCGCCTACAGCAGGCCACCGTCTTTGGAGGTGCCCAAAGGTACAGCACATACACGGTACCGCATGTTTCCCGCTGGGTTCGGGGAAGATGCCCTGCCTGCCATTCTGACCAGATTCGGTGTCGCCACGTCTGATGTTGACCCGAACATTGTGACCACCATCCAGCAATAGATGATTGGCAGTGCTGAGAGCAAAATCCGAGTTCTCAGCTACTGGAGCGCACATAGCACATGTTTGGGTGATTTTGTGACGAACCCGAGGGTTCAAGATCGTGTCCAAGAAGTTTCATGCACCGGCAAGGCGAGCTACAAGACAATCGAAGCCTGGACTGAATCATGTTAGGCCAGGGCCAGGCCCATGCCGTACGACCTGGTGATGATCCTGGCCAACTCGTTTAAGAGCCTTCGAGATGGCATTTCCAGCCGGCTTCAGATTTTGCAGCACTGGGCTGGACACCGCTTCACGATATCTTGATCAGCTCCTGGAGGTGGAAGAGCCACCCTCTACTTAGCAGCACACTCCAGAACTTTCAGGAAGCTGACCCGAGCTTCGACAATGCCGCCACTGCCCGCTAGGGGAGATTGGAAGGATATCCGTTGGCAAGCTTGTGCCGTGCTGTGAGACAACCGAGCATGTGACACAGCGCGTGCAAATGAGCTGCGTGGAGGTTGCTGGTTAGTATGTAGATTGCTCATTGTATCTGTAGTGGCTTCCTTCAAGCTCCTGCAGCTCTTCACCCTAGTTGATCGGTGGTCGTGAAGCCTTGCCTGCCTGGTGCAAGTGCGAGAGCGCAAACGCCAGCGATGGTCTGCCAGCATCGTATCTTTCCATACAGCCAGGTCTGGGGGGCGCCAAGGTCGCTGACACTGCGAGCAGTGAGAGCGACAAGGACGGGCTTCGCTTCCGTGACGGGCTCTTTGATCAGGGCCGCCGCAGCATGCGACCGCCTTTGCCCAGGACACCCAGCAGAAGCTCATACAAGCAGTTCAGGAGTTCTCAACCGGATGCAAAACCGGTATGGACGAGTTCTACGCCCAGGCGGGAGATGCAGATCCAGCACTTCTCTTGGCGTCTTTTTCGTGCTTCCGATCTCCAGGTGAGTACGGCCTGTGCTGGACGTTTCCACACCTTCCCGCCAGTCGCACTGTTTCAGATTCTGAATGCGACGGTGGGCCTTTGTCGCAAAGGACGGACGCACAAATGGCACAGATGAAGCAGCTTTTGCTGTGTGCTGTGCACGTGTGTGGGTGTGTGCCCCATGTCACCCTGATGAACTGACGGACATTTCTGCATTTCTGCAGGACAAGGCTGTGTGGCTGACAACTCTCCCGAGCAGCCACGCGACGCCCACCAAAAGCTTCTGAAGAGTGCAAGGATCGGCTTCAGCGTGCTTGTCCAATGGAACTTCTGGACGGTTGGCTTTGCTTGGGTGTGTCTTTGTGTGTGCAGCTCAGCAGGAAATGGCTCGCTGCCGTTTGCAATCAGCAGCGCTTCGATGCACGTCTACAGTTGCTCAGCTGCAGAATGACACTGTCGCACCGGTCGTCGTTCAGGAGTATGACGACCACGATGACGACTACGACGACTATTGGTGCTAATACTTCCGCTACCGCTACAGCCACCACTACCACTGCCCTGCCACTTCACGGCAAACACACTGCCACTGCAACCGCTACTGCGATGACGACAACCACTGCTTCCACCGCCAGCTCTGCCGCTGCTGGTCCCACTGCCCCTTCCGCTGCGACTACGACTCACCACACCATTATGAGATTCTGATGCCGATATCTTGAGAAGAAAGTGTACTATGAAAGAGCTGAAAGAGTAAGCTCACGTCGTCGTTTTTAACGTAAGTGGTTGCAGCAATGGTCACCTGTGAGTTCCATTGGAGACGTCTTGAAACTCATCTTTGCGAATGGTACAGCAACCACTCAACGTACATCAGGGGTATTCACAAGCATCATGCTGATAATCAGCAATGGCGGAGAGAGTGCTAACATCTGCCGTCGTCCCAAGCGTGCTGCTTGCTAGTAGAAGCAGTGGTGACGGCCACTGTTCCCATTGTCACCTCAACAAGACTCATAGCGTTATGAGGTCAAGACATCGTACACTTCCGAGTTGTCAGAGCGTCAATCCTGCTTTCCAGGCTCTGCCTTCTTTCGGCGCAGATGCAGCAGATGTGGGCGAAGGAATCTGAGTTCCGGGCCTTCCTGGAGAGTAGAGGCGATCTCCATGTCAACAAACATAACATGGAAACGAGGAAACGTGACCTCACAGGGATACTGAGGCATCGTGTGTCCCTGAGCCTCTGACTTGCTTTTACCGCGGCTGAGAGGTTCTGCGGCCAAAGGATTGACAATGGACGACTTCAAGCTGCTGCGGGTCTGCAAAGACGGGGATCCCGCTTGCAAGGCTAAATCTCGTCATGTCCGTCGCTCGCAGCATCTCGCAGCCATGGAGACCCGTCTTGCGACTGAGGCTGCCAGAAGCAGACCGCAAAGAACTCGAGAAGTGCTGGAAGGCACCCACACGACTTGTTGGGGACATGCTTGCGAAATCTTGCGAACCGTTGTATCCTGCCACTGACTGCAGTCCCCGCTGATGTGACCACCCGGTAAATCGACAGCCAAACTCCAATCAACACCGCACGCCTAAAGCCAAGTGGAGGTGGTGGTAGGCTTTCTTGCATCCCATGAACAGAAATGGCACAAAGCAGAGTGGGAGGCGTGGCTCATTGGTCTCAACCCCAGCATCCATTGAACACTTACTCCCTTGCTTGACTTTGACACCTGGGGTAGCGCAGAACGTGGAAGTGTGCTTTTGTTTCAGGGCTCCCCTTTCCTGGCCAGGAGTGGAAAGAGGCAGAGGCTGCGAAGCAGCGACTGGAGGATGAGCGGCGGAAAGAGGAGGCGGACTGTGAGACACATCTGCGAGGCAGCGAGTGACGATGTTTGAGTCTTCAACCACCTTGGTGAGGAAGAGGCTGCTAAGCGGCGATTAGAGGAGCAGCGGCGGCGTCGAGCTGACGCGAAGGAGGCTTCCATGCAACGTGGTTTGATGTCGACCTTTTCGCAGATTCTTTCTGGGAGGCCGTGGAGAAGCTTGTCAAGGACCAGTGCGGCGACATCGAGAAGCTCCAGGCGGATGCACTGGGGGCATCCACGGGCGAGTCACAGTCATCTCTGCAGAGTCCACGCAAGGGGACGAGGCTTTTTTGTCAGCTCCCAGGCTGCTGTGAATGCTGCGCTGGGAGCTGGTGTGCCCTTTGATTCGGTGGTGGCAGAAGCGACCCAACGAGTGCAGGAGTGGCTTCGTGGCTTCGCTCGGGATCCTAAAATGTAAAACCCAGGGGAAGTTGCATCTCTTAGCTGAATGCCTGCAGGAGCTGCGCAGTGCAGTGGAGCTCCTGCAGAAGTCGCTTGCCATCGACGTGGCTTGGGTCGCACGGTGTGGCATGCGAGCGAAGCTTCTTGCAGTTTACAGTTCAGTAGCTGCTCAGGCTTCCAGCGAGGCAGCCGTGAAAGAGCTCCAGAATGCAGTGGAACACGCGGAGGCGGCGAGTCTCCAGAGCTTCTCATCTATACTAGCCAGAAGCAGGCATGTTCCGGTACTCAGATCCTTGACTTGGTGAGCAGTTTGTTGCTGCTTGATTTTGGTATTCCGTAAGGTGACCTGATCCAGAAAGCGAGGGACAAGATCACCCAGATCCAGGGGACACTGTCAGCTGAGGAGGAGGCAGAGAGAAAGCGCAAGGAGGCAGAACGGCTGAAGAGACATGGCCCGCACTGCTCTACCCGTGGACTATCCGAAGTTCTAGGGCATGGCGCTGGGCTTTTGTTTTTGTCCCTCTCTGTTCCCCGTCTCCGGCTTTCACCTGCTAAGCCACGAAGCCCTGTCCAGTCCGCTAGGAAGGTGGAGATGGCACCCAATACGGGCTTTTCATCGCTTTGCACCTCCAGCCGTAGCGGTTGCCGTGAGCTCTGGTGCAAGGTGAGAAGGCGTGGGCGTAGGTGCAGGTAGCGGAAGCACAATGTCACTCAGGAAGCTACAAGAAGAGGCCAAAGAACGACGGAGAAAAGCCGAGGAGGCGCGTTTGGCAGAGTTCAGCTTCCAGTGAATCCTACGAGGCCCTCCTGGTGAAGTTCCGTAGGTGGCATTCCAACACTCCCATAGTATGGTAACCGTCGGGATTCTGCCGAAGCTGTAGGCCCGTGAAGACGACGGCACGATGCGTTTATTTCCTGTAGGCCGTCGTCCGTGTGTGTGTGTGTGTGTGTGTGAGTGACGGCAAACAGGCCTTGGAGTCTTCCGTCGGCTCGGCAACGCTGCGTAGGTGTAAAAGTGTGGTCGATGGACAAAATATTTTGCAGCAAGATCTTTTCAGCCAACATTGCCCGTGTTGTGCTGGGAACGGGAAGCGAAAGCAGAGGGCTTACAGCGAGGTCGGGCGAGCATCATTCGAACACCGTCCATCAGCTACATAGTGGTATGCTTGCTAAACCAAAAGAAGATATACAGGAAGTAAGGTGAGTACAACGTATGTATATATTATGTGTATATGCACATACACACCCGCATCAGTCATGGTATGCACGTGCATATCGTTTTCATGTTGCTAGCAAGAGTGAGAATCTTTGCGTACCTAGGTCTGTCTTCAATCGTGTCAGGGAAGTCTAGGCAGTTTCACCAAAGAGTCTACCACAACCGCAACCATCACCACGATGGCTACTACTATGCTAGCTTGACGATGGCACCTTGGACGATGACAACGACGATGACTTTTCCTGCTACTATACCCACTACTGCCTGGCGGCTTTATGATAGCAACACTTGCACGAGAGGTCATAAAGGTCATCATGGCCCTAACTGAGATGCTCGAGCTGCCAGCAACGGCTAATCAGTGGAGCAGTCATGCTTAATTCCAGGAGCGCCGAAAGAAAGAAGAGGAGGACAAATTGAAGAGGCGTGGGCTTGAATATTGGCAGAGCGACACATGCTTCGAATAGCTTTGCGGACCTGGGGGCATTCTAGCATCAGAGTTATTCTCCACCATGACTCATGGCAAAATGCTTGAGACATTCGCATGTGTCCCTGCGGGCCTGCGGCGCCTCCTTGCACAGGGCGGGAGCACCGAAAGTGGTGGAGGCCAACATCGACTTGCTGAAGTTCGCTCGCCCAGAGCTGTTCGTTTGGGGTGCCCGAAGAGAGCCCGAAAGTAGCCCGCAGCGAAGCACGAGGCACTCCAGCCAAGCCCAGCCATTCTGCCGACAAATATGCAAGTACGCACGAAGGCATGCAGGTACGTAGGTCTGTACGTCGGTACGTATGTATGTGTGTACGTGCGTAGAAATGTAGGTATCCGCGAACGTAGGTATGAAGATGCGCCGGTATGTTTATGTGTAAGTAAGTATGTACGACTCTGTCGAGAGCGAGTGCCAAAAAAAAGTAAGTATGTATGTATGTAGGTACGTACCAATGAATGTATGAAGGTATGGATGCATTATGCATTATATATATACATGTGTGTATAGGTATGTTATATAGACATATGCATGTGTACACATCATCAGGTGCCTAAAGACAACAAAGATGACGTGTAACTATTGCAGGTAGAAGACTCGCGTCGCAAGGACATAGATGGGATGGTTTGAAAGGCCTGCTTGCCAAGTTCATGCAATCATTCACAAAACTCGGAAAGTCTTCATGTCATCATGTACCTCATAAGCGATGACATGTCCGTGAAACATCTCTGAACGGCGCCCTTCAAGATAGAGGGTGGCCTGATGATGAACGCAGAAATACTCGTCCGGAAGCACACGCGTGTGTTAGAAACGGCTGTATGGATCAAGAGCTTCTGAAAGCAATCATAGTCTGGATGCACAAGAACTTAGCATCCTTGGCAAACAGACCGATCGGTCTGTTGTGTACTCCTTTGTAAGAGCATTGCAGTGCGGTTTAAAGCAGGGTTAGACGCAGGAGTGGATGCAAACTCAGTTTGGACTTTGCAAGCGCAAATCAACCAGTGAAGCAATGCTCATCGAATTTCACCGCAGGCAAACGGAAACTCAGTACTACTATTCAACAGATCGGGCGACTTTATCAGGAAGCAGAGTAAAACTCTTCTGGCGCAATGCCAGCAGCACGAATCGCTCAGACACATCTCCCACTTGCCCAGCCCGCGTATTGATCGTCAGGCTACCAAAGCGGTGCATCCTCGTACAGATAGTCATACCGCGCGGAGAAGGGCGAAGATACGACTGTTGGACCATGTGTTATGCCCAGTTCTGCAGACCCTCTGAATCCAGTAACGTTGGAGGGTGACAAGCATCACCAAATCCAGTGCACACCCATTGGACGGGCAAACCTGCTCACCAACAACGGACATAGAGCAGCTGTGTAAGCTTGGCTATGTGCAACACGTCAAAAACTCAGAATAGGCAAGAACCTTGTAATCAAATAGTTCACCCCCAGGCCACGGCCTTTCGAGAAACTGGCTCTTCGTGCTCGAACTCGAACACGGCGCATTTTTGTCTTTACTGTGTCTAGCTTCTCGAGCATGTGTCGATTCTGTGCCTGTAATTAGCATCCAGGTCACGATGTTTCTTGCACCTGGCTATGGTTTGTTCTGGTATAGGGTGTCAATTGTGTCCGTGTCGTTCCTTGCTTACTGGGTCATTATATGAGTGTGACAGTACTGTAGTACCCTGCCATCTTCATCATATGCATGCAAAGCACCGTCATAGGCATGGCAGGTAGGTGACAAAAAAATACCATGCACTGTTTATATATACATAAAGACACACACACACACATATATATATATATACACATGCACAGGCCTTATAGTGCCTTTATGTGCTTGGCATGTTTCTGTTTGCAGGGGTTGTGTTTTTCATCCCGGCCTGCACGCACCCAGGTTAAGTCTTGATTCCGATTGTGTGCTTTGGGTAAGGGCACTTATGGCCTGAGATTGTTACAATAAGTTTGAAGGAAGTTGCGGCGTGTAAGGTCCGTGGTGGAGAGAAACGGCGAGTTCACAGACAACGTCTGGACGCCAGAGGCCAGGCTCCCAACCACGAAGCAATCTACAGCCTCGCCAAGCATCATGCCCCGTAAGCCCCAAAAACGATCGTAGACGGCGATTGCATCTAGTGCGATTGTTGCTGGAATTGGCTCTACTGCACTCAAGTTCATAGGGATACGGATGGTCCAACTTTCGAGCTTCTACTATGTATATGTATGAATGTACGTATGTACCCATGCACGTGGGTCGATGTGTAGGTGTGCATGTACAGTATGTACAGGTCAACCCCGCCTGCCACCTCTATGGATCCATGGTTGGTTCGCTTGCACGTGTATGTGTGTGTATACATGGGCCTTTGCTGGTGTTGGTGTTGGTGTTGATGCTGGTGTATATGCACCCGCGACCGCCAGGGTTAAATGAGCACAGGGGGGCAAACGAAGCTATGCCTGAAGGTGGAAGTGTGCCCTGACCACTAGCAGCATGTACAGGCAAAGAACCTGCCCTGATCAAGCAAGATTTCCCTCGAAGCTGGTAATTAAGATTAGTCTATCTAGTGACTCTGGTGTTCGTGCAAGCGTGTGTCTGTGTGTGCAAGTGCGTGTGCGTGCATGTTTTGTGTGTGTGTGTGTGTGCGCGTGTGCATATGGGTGTGTGTGTGTGTGTGGTTGCTTCACTTCTTGCTGCAGCACTTTAGCATAGCAACATGTTTGCAACAGCAACACCAGACTGTTGGTTTGATCACATCTGCGGTGTCATACACATGCAAAGACTTTTCTAATACTTGTAACATGCACTGAGCAAGCACATTAAATGAATGTAAACTGTAACCTCCCCGTACAAAAAGCACATGTCTGAACAGCTCGAAGCCTCCGTATGAGCTGCGTATAAGTGTATCTAAGGGCCAGCTAGAAACACTGTCAAATGCAGTATCGAAAATACCCGCGTGCTGGCACAAACGACGAGGCAGGTGTATGTGCTTTCCTTCGACACGTGTCACATATCCGTCTACCCGCGGATGCGTTTATGTATCTGCATATGTTTTCGGGGAACAGTGCGCGCACACACACATTCACACGCAATCAAAAGCAGTATATAGATCAACGTAACGTATGCATATATGAATATGGCCATATACGTAGAGTGAGCTCGAGGGTAGAACATGGTATAAGCATGACGGGCAATGATGGGTGATGGAATGCCCCATCCTTTATCTCACGTTCATGAGGATGTCGAAAATTGCTCCACCTTTCTACATGCGCAGGTCTATGTGAAGTCATGCATGCATCAACATAAGCAGCCTGAAGTTTCATACTCGGGGCCCGAAAACCGCATGCAGGCCCCCGAAGACCGGCCCCGGCGCGATTGCAGATTTCCGGCATGATAGGATGCACGAGTGAATCCTGTGGGCATGGGGGTGAAAGCACAAGTACGTCTCGCAGCAATCAGTTGCCTCCAAGTGCAAATGTGCAGAGGCGATGGGCTCGAAGGCGAACAGCTCCTCGTACAAGCATCACGCCTGCAACATGCTGCCACACTTCGATTTGACTTGCAAGTTTGCAGGCCTTCTGACTGGCAACTCCCTCTGACCCTAGACTTTACAAGTGCAACACCGAAGCGACACGATCCGCACTTACTGAATTCTGCATGCGTGATGTGGCAGATCTTAGAGGCGTCGTGACGCCGATGCAATCACCAGAAGTAGCAACATGAGCGATCTATAGCTGAAGCGCAGATGATATAACATCTTGCAGCCATTGAAAGCGGCTTGAGTTTCCAGACCCCGCTTACGCAGACGCAGAACCCCGTGCCGACACCGTAGTCTGCAGGATCGTGCGGCTCCGAAAGATAGTCGGTGACGAAGTGGCTAGGCTGCAAAGCCTACAGGACAAAATCATTCTGCTCGCACAAATTACGGGCCGAAGTGCACCGTCGGGAATCCAGCCCAGACGCAGTCTTGCAGACTTATGCTCGCGACGTGAACATCGCGTGAACCGACGGTCGCGGTTCCACAGCTACATCGATGCCGCAAAACGGTTTCAGGTCCAGCTCTTTTTGGACGGCTTCAACCCCAATGATATACACCAAGGACGGCTTCGATGTAACACATCGCACGAGCATTACGAACAATGTGGAATGACAGGAGAGCTGGGCGACTGCTGGTTTCTCTCCGCCATCGCATGCTTGTCCGCCAGAGACAAACTGGTGGACAAGTTGTTTTGACCTTACTGCAGATTCGACTGAGGCTTTGCCTTTGCTGCATTGCCCTGCTCGTAGCTCATGATTGCCTAGGTTCACCTACCACGATGCAGCGAAGGGGCTTTACGTCGTACGCTTTTACAAGAACGGCGTCTATCAGGAATGCGGTGATAGGATAGGCTGTTGTGATGCGTAGCATCAAGATGCGACTCCTGTGCTAGGCCGGGTTTTGCAAGGTTTACTCCCTACACCCTGCCGCCTCTATGGAGGATGTCACCATCGATGACTACTTCCCGGTGAAGTATAGTCAGTGTGCTTTTGCTTCCTCGGGGAAGAAGACGGAGGCATGGGTTCAAGCCCTGGAGACGCTTGGCTTTCCCTTGCACTTTGTCTGCGCGTTCTCATCCGCGTCCGCGACACACCGCTTCGTGCTGCAGCTTGCAAAGCTCGGGCATGGCTTTATCTCCATGATTATCCATGTGCAAGGAGGCATGGAGAAGGTGTTGGCTGTTTCCATCAGGTTTAACACAATCAGCCTAGCAGTCTAGAGTCTAGATACTTCATGTCCACGAGATTTCGACAGGGAAGTGCTAAATGCGGCTATATGTGGTACGAGACAGGCTTGAAGGGTCTGGAGGTAGCTTCAGAAGTTGATTGTGCACATGGCCAACATTGCCTCCGTGGTCTTCAATCAGGAGCATGCTTCTGCAGTCAGCAGGATATCGCACGAGCAATGCATGAGCCGTTGATGGACATCCAGCCTGCGGTCTCCAGGAGTCGGTTGGTCTTGGTGCTTTGGCTCAGACCCTGCAGAGGGCGAACCAGGCCATGCCGAGTTTCAAGCATGTCTGCATGTAAACGCGTCCTACTTGTGAGAGAGCGACTGCACCAGCAGAGTGTGCTGAAGTTACCTGAAGCATCGAACCGTTTGTAGTCTGAGCTACATTGCATTGCATGTGCCTCGTTCTTGCCTTCTGTCAGCACGCTCAATGGACTTCCTTACTCCTGTCTGAGCCAAGCCGAAGTTTCCTTAGCTTGCTTATGACGGGTGAAGGATGCAGTTGCGTTGGTAGCCGTGCTTCTTGGAGCGCTGCTGGCGATACGTGGCAGCGCAGCACCTTGGACCCGGCCTGGGTGTCAGTACGCTCGCACCGCTCGGATGAAGCATGATGAAGGTCATGAAGTTCCTCTTCGTCTTCGTCCTCTCGCTTGCTGTTGTCGTTCGAACCTGTCGCTCGGCAAGGTGCAGTTTGCCAAGCGAGTTTGAGATAGTTTGACTGTCACTGTCCACTCGTGCCTGCCCGAAGGTATCGCTGCAAAAGAGGACTCCCGGAAAGGGAAAGACGCACAAGACCGTGGCAAGAGTTGATCCCGCAGACCCCACAGAAATGACTGCAGAAACCACTGGGAGCCTCTCGAGACCACTCCTACACCCACGTAACACTTGCAAAACCCCAGGCAGAGGCGGGCAGAAACCGAGAGCAGAGCGCAAACACGGGCTGGAGGCAAGCACACACACACACACACAGAGCCCGAGAGGCCGAATTATGTGGCTCTGGTAGGCCTTGAGCAATGTGAAGGAACCGAGTGGTGCACTTACTGCTTGCGCCTCGCAGGCCCTTTGCTCCTAAGTTAAGTGCCCAATGGTATTCCATTGCCACACTCTTTGGGGAAGTCATAGTGTCATAGTGACATCCACAGCATCGGGTACTTGAGAGGAGGGCCATGTGGCTCTGGCCGCCCTGCTGGTACTTCTCGTCCTGCCCCTCGTAGTGCCTGGGCGCAAACCCGAGATCCACAGTAGCGGACCTCTCCCAAGTGTTGAGCTCGTCCTCGAGGTCCTTGCAGCCGACAGGCTCTATCTCATCTTTTGCTCGCTCGTCGGTGCTGCGATTGGTGGATCCGCGAGCTACGCCTGCACGGGCGTCTCAACCAACAGTCAGGGTCAGAGCGAGGGCCATACTGCCGTAATACTGCTTGCGACTGCGTGCCCCACGCGCATCCGCCAAGGACTGGTCGTTCTGCCGCACACGGCCGTAGGCCTCCTCGTGTCTTTGGCTGCAGGCTGCACAGCTCAAGTAGCGCGAGGGCTCCGGGCGGCGAAAGCCTTGCGCTGCCTTTTGCAGGACTGGCTGCCCTCGCTTTTCTGCGTTGGAGATGCTTCGGCTGGCGTCTTCTCTCTCCCCCACTTGGCGCGCTTCTGCTCACGGCCAGCCTTCGCTACGCCTTTGAACGCGTGTCGGGGCTGCAAGGTTCCCACATGTTGCTTCACTCGTTGGCCAGGACTTGGGAACAAGCATCAGTGCAGTTTGTATTGCTCACATGCTGAACCAGCGAACCAGGTCCTCCTGGGGCGTGGCGCGAGTGAGATGCGCAAGCTTTGCGTTTTTGTGTTTTGTGCGGTCTGAGAGAACCAGGTCCCCCCGTGCCTCTGCCCCTACCGAGTCCTCGGTCCTCGTAAGGCCAAGCAATGTGGTTGAGCTTTGCCGATGAGCCATGGTCTGACATGAGAGCGTTCTCTTCGGACTTTGGGGGCGTGCCACTTGTGCGCAAGCATGAATGCAGATACTCCGAGGAGACGTGCACCAGTGCGACAGTGCCCGGCTCTTGCCGAGGTCTTTCTTGTGCGCCTGCGGCGTCCTTGCACTGCTGGGATGGTATGTCCAGTTTGCCAACCTTCTGGGTTTGGAAGACCCGCTGGTGGTTCCAGATCACTTGCTGGCGTTCTTTGACAAGACCCAGGCCAGAAGTGTTGTCCGTTCACAAAGTCAGCAGGAACACCCCACTAGGTTTGTTGAGGCTTGCAAGTGTGAGGCATGGTTTCCCTTCGTCTTTGATGGCTCTAGGGACCCCGAGGAAGGGATGCTCGAGAGCCCGAGTGTGTCTTGGAAGCGATTAGATTCGCGGTTCACTATTCTGTATCGTCCTCATCATCCGTACGATTGCCACTAGATTCATAAGATGAGCCGTACATGACGGCCTGAATGGGCGGTCCGATTCAACTGCAGGTGCTCGCGCCATTCCTCGGGCATATGCCGGAGCACTATGACTCGAAGCCCGAGGCGGAAGAAGATGTAAAGATGTAGCTAACACACATATACACAATGTAATACATGTCATGCATCCATTGAACCACTGGCCAAAGAAATACCTTCGGCACCCACGTTACGGAGCCCATGTCTTTTGCCTTTCCCACACATTCCGAGGTGAGATGGGAGGGTTGTTTGTTTTGTTTCCGCCCACGAGACATGTGCAAGATGTGAAAGGCTGCCCTCAAATTCTACAGCCCTGCTGCCAAGACCTGCGGGCGCAGGTCATTATGGCCCTTTCGGTGTTCGGCGTGGTGCTGTTGTTTGGCCTTTTATCCAGCAACTCGGCGCATGTGCTTGTCCTTCATTGCCAGCTCGTTGGGGAACTGGGAAGTCAGCGCAGTCTCTGTGTGGCATGGGTTCGTTCTCTATGAGAGATGGATGCTGTAGAGGCGATGGTCATTTCTCTCTTTCAGGTCGACCGCTGCTGCTTTTGGGCCACGCAGTCCTGATGTCTTGCGCTGCAACACTTGTGACAGCTGGTCGCGCTCTCGGGGCCGCCAGCACCGTAGTAGGTGGTTTCTTGCACTCTCTGGACGCTTCGGCAAGTCAGGTTTTCTCAGCGGCGGTGATGCAGGGAGCCTTTCAAGGCATGTGCACTTTGGTGGAGACGGAAAGCCGAAGAGCCTGGTGTCAAGGCCGACGTTGATTTCTTAGATTGCAGGCTTCGCCGCTTCGCTTGAGTTCCTGCTGGCAGGCTGCACCGCCACGGCTTCGAAGTCGCAGGGTGTCTGGCAGCTCTTTCTGCACTTGGTGGCTATGCGTGCCTTGGTTGGCAGTGGGGTGAGCTGCGACCCCACGTGCTGTTTTGAAGCTTGCGGACCGAAGCCACAGCAGGTGCCTGTGTGACGGGAGCCGACCGGATGGCGCATCACAGCCCGAGCTATCAGATCTGGCTTCTGACAGGACCGCCGGCCTTCCGATGGCCGCCGTAGCATTTCGTGCATTGAGCCATCTCCAGGCCTATCCGGACCTTGCACGAGTGGCTGGGCTACGGTATTCTTGGCATCCTCGTCGTCATGGCATCGGCGAGTGCAGCCACCCGCGCGGGGGCTTGTCATCAAGGCAATGGCCCACGGGTCGTGGCAACTTTCCAGCGAGTTCTGGGGAAGATGATGTATGCCATCGCAGCAGCAACCCAGACTCTCAGCGAGTTAAAGGGGCATCAGATGCAAGCTTCAGGTTTGAAGGCATCTGCTGTGACATTGGTTTTTTGCGAGGATCTTGGGGTACTTCATTGCTGGGTTGCTTCCTCTATGGGCATCCTGGCTGTTGACGATCTGTCTGGTGGTGGTGGCAGTTTCGACCCTGGCTTCTAAAGCGCTGCAGCTGGAGGCCGCGCACCAGGCCCTGCAGCTCAGTTATTGTTGCCGATTGACCGATGGCCGACGAACCCGAACATAGGCCCCCGAGATGGGCTATGCACCGCCTTGTGCATTCTTACTTGAAAAGGTGACCTGGCATCATATGCTTGGTGGCACGAATTAGGTTAAGCAATGTCAATAAATCACACCGTGGATGTCAGGCTTCGGCTGTCGATACGCAGATCAGCTTCGCCAGCACCAAGCTGGATCCTCGCAGCATGCTATTCGCAATTTCTCTGCCGAGCTTTTTTGTTTCGTCAGTGATCGTTCTGCGGATGGCCGGCCGAAACACGCTTACTGTGTACAATGCTGCCGTGATGCTTCGAAGGGGCCCGCACAAAGCAAACATGTACTGTGTGGTGTTGCAAGCGATGTTTATGTAAGGAGAGCGGCCAAAGCGAGTCGCCGCCCTGACACGCAAGTCGTTGCTTTGTGGGATGGGCCATCGGATGCCATCTGAAGTCGCTCAGGCCACAAGCGCCGCAGCCGGCACAAAGCAAGCGCCTGCAGCCGCAGCATCCCAAAAAGGAGGAGACGGCAGTCTTCAGGACACTCGAGGGATGCGAGGGGCGGCACTCTTAGCGCAGCAGAGTTAAGCTTTGCCGCGCTTTCTGCCAGAAGGCTCGTCGTGCTCCCGCGCTCGCAGGCGTGAGAAGAGCACGCGCCGCTTGGCCGGAGCGCTGATGGGGAACCTGAGGGAGCATCGACGGCAGGCGCGGCTTGACGGTCGGACTCAGTCGGATTGAGTGTGGTTACTGGTTGTTCTGACTGCAGGCTCTGCTGACTGTATACTTCGGCCGCTGGCAGCGCAGCCTGCTTGCCAATCGCCCCTCCGGCAGAAGTGCGAGAGGATCGAAACGCATGGCAGGATCACGCAGAAAGCCGAAACATGGTAGCTTGTCTATCGACCTCGGGTCAACGTCTTTGTGCTTCAGGCTTGTCTCGGACAAATATGGAGGCAGCTGAGAACAACAACCTGGCAGACTTTCTCTCTGCCAGTCTCCTGGCACCCGACAGCTTGTGCCAAAGCAGGGGCCTAATGACCGCCTGATCCTAACGCTTGGGCGGTGCCGCGGACTGTTAGGATCTGTGAGTTTGTTTCGCCACGGAAATGTTTGAATGCCTGTTCCACTTGCATCCCAATTAGTTTTGTGGTGGGCTTGAAATGCCTCTTCAGCTTTTAAGATCTGTAGATTCATAAGGTGCGAGGCTGCAGTATTTGGCAACCTCGCGAAGTTTTGTTTGTGCCCGTCTGGGCTTCTGGACATTCCTGTGCTCCTTCCAAGAAGCGGAGCTGAGGAGAGTAGCTTTCGGGATCGGGGCCTCGAAATGGGATGCCGACGGCATAGTCACTAACACAGTCTTACACTGAGATTCTGTGTCACTGCTTTGCGGGTGAATAAACGACTCTCTTCACGACATTTTGTGCCCCGAGCCTCCACTACAGTCAAATTCGGGATTCCGGGCTTCGTGAACAATGCGCGAACCCGTCCTTCCATCTCCGCTTGCAGTCTGGCCTAGATGGTCACCTCACGTCGTAAGGTGGTCAAAGCGCCATGCCACCCGAGCCTGTGAAAACGTGCACCTGCATGCAGCCTGTGAGCTGATTTGGTAGAGCCTTAGCCAGCTGCCGAACTGGGGTCTGCAACATCAACCAAAACCAAAGAAATAAGGAAAGCTTATGCCAAACTCCACGGCAGCTACGATTCGATAGAGGGCGGCTTCGTCAACGATGCTTTGGTGGACATGACAGGAGCCTGGCAGTCAACAATCTCTACTTGGCTTATTGCGATGCTATGGGATGCCATGGATTTGCGGTTTGTCCTTCAAGCTTTGACAATCTCTGACAGGAGGCATTGGGGAGAAGATGCACCTTCATGACAAGGCTGCACGCAAAGATGCTCATCTACATCTTGATTGACTTGGAAGCAGTGTCTTGATTGACCTGTCTACTCTTGATTCAGCTCAGGAAATCAACGATGGTACGATGTGGGCAAAACTCCTCAGCCTCGTTAAAGACGGCCACCTGCTAGGCCAGGCGGCGGTTGGCACAGCAGCCTGTTGAGAGGGGCCACGAGCGCAGGCTGCGGGTCCGGATCCGGGAAGGACACGGACATCAGCCGGGTACTGAGATGTGCATTCGCGCACCTCATTCAGTAAGCAGGAACCATCGCATCGCCCTTGCCTTAGCAAGGTGATATGGGCATTGTGAACCTCGGAATGCATTGATCGCACGCTAGACTCTACGACCAACCGAACACGTCATTAATTACGTGAGTCTGTGACCACGTGCGACGTTGGCGGATGTTTATCCGGGTGTGTCTGCAAAAAACAGACGGAGATACCCATGCGCCTGCGCAGGTTCGACACCCCCTGAGCCAGCATCGCACTTGCAAGTAAGCCAGATCGCAGTTGAATTTGCATGGAACTGATTCTCTTGAAGACATGTCCCTCAAAGCCAACTAAGCAGAGCCTAGAGCTTTTTAGGAAGCCGATTCCCAAAGCCGGCAGAGAGCGGACTGAAAGCACAGGAAGGGCCACGCCTATTCCCTTCTGCGAGTGGAGGAGGCCTTGGCATGGTGACGGGATCGGTTTCAGCTGCCGTCGGGCCGTGTTGCTGCGTGTCTGTTGCAGGTAGAGGGAAACAGATTGGTGCAGCTGCGCAATCCATGGGGCCCCTCGCTCTCGATTTAGCTCCGCACAAAGGTCTGATTTCTTGGGTGCTCAGCAGCTCCAGTTCGATGTGGCTTTTGACACAACCCCTTGCTCTTACATCAAGGATCTACTGAATGGAAAGGAAAGTGGAGTGTCCAGTCCTTAGTGGAAACTGATGGGCAACGAAGGTGGTGCTGGGGAACTGCGGGGCCTTCATCCTTCAGGATGGCGACAAAGATAGTTGGACGCAGAAGATGAAGAAAAAGCTGGCACTCCGACTGAATGTGGCGGCTTCATTTGCGAAAGCTCTTCCTGCGCGATCTGCATAATCAGGGCTATGTGAATGCCAACGACGGCTCCTTCTGGATGGCCTTCGAAGACTTCGTGAACCACTACCGCTGTGTGCAACCAAACGGCAAAAGACCTTGTCGAGCTAGTCTCGGGACGGTGAAAATGGTAGCCCGCCGCGCTTGCCGAGGTACATTTGTCGACTTTTCGATGACAGCTGGAATCGTGTTTTCGTTAATTCTGAGTGGAGAGGCGAAACCGCAGGCCATCGCCACATCTGTGGCAGTAAACGGCTCTCTGCTGTTGTTGACTGCCTCAATTCCTCTAGCCTCTAGCCCTATGCTGCTTCGTCGAGCACTGCTTTTGAGGCGGTTGTCGAAACTATCCGACCTACGAAGCTTGGCGTGGTATGTACTGCCCACGCAGGCATCGGCAAAACATGTTGAACAGCTCAGGACAAGAATCCCAAGATTCAGCTGAGCATCAAGGGACGTGCCCAAGCCCTGGCTATCTGTGACGCCTTTGCCGTTCGAAGCATGAGTTCTGTCGTCGGCCCAGGTGAACCTCATCCTCACCTTGGAGCAAGCAGACTCGCGTGGTGGATTTGACGGCGACGAAGAGATACCTATCGGTTTCAGGGCAGCTCGGCCATATCGCGATTAGATTGGTTCCACTTCCTGCCAGTGCGGCAGAATTTGTCAAAGGTCTACCGGGATCGCAGCCTTTCCGGGAACGGAGTCTGCGGCACGTCGACCTATGCCTACGACAGGGAGGCATTTGGCTCAGCAGTAGGGGCTAGGCTCGTCTGTTCTCGTCAGCAGATTGCACGCGAGTGGTGGGTAAGACGATGACACTCCCCACCTGTCAGCTTTGCGTGGATGTCGAGCTGACGGAGAACACAGCTGGCCCCTACATCATTCTTCCCACCACCTTCAAACCGAATATGGAGAGAGGCTTCATTTTGCTGCCCGGCCGCACCTTGTGCAGGCGATTTGGATATTTGAGTTTGGTCGTCAACCCTACAGAGGCAGCAGTAGCTCCAGGTCGGTGCGATTTCGTAGAGTGGCAAGACAGTTAGGCCCTATGACATGGAGCATTCCATGGTGAGATGCACCCTTTACCGACATGGTCCGAATATCTGCGACTGAAGCCAGTACCAGTAGAAGAGGTTTCTTACAGGGCCATGTTGTCGTCCTGCTTGCAGGAAGGCGTTCTGGAAAGGTGCCCCAGATGTGGTGCAGATGCAGAAAGATTAAAGGCAGAGGAGAGCGGATGTCATGCCTGAGACGGAATCTGAAGAGCCCAGTTTCCGGCAGAGATTTCGATCTCTACTTGTGCATGATGAGGGCAACATGCCAAGCGCAGACCCTTAAAGGGGCCCTGCGTGCATTATTATGTGATACGCTTGTAAAGGCACGCTCCCTTTTTTGAACCACCCGAGCCCACAGCCTGAACAACAGGCAGTGGGTGCTTCAACAACGTCCTTGCTGTGACCACCTCTGAACGAGCGTCGCTGTCTGGACGGTAGCTTCTTCAAAGCAGCCTTGCACGAGCCCAACATGGGCTGACAGAGCGACGATGACACCTGGTGCACTGGTTCAGAGTCTAGGTGTCGACGTCCCATGCGCAGTCGGAGCAAGAAGTTTCTACACGTTCCGTCTCTAAAGAACTGGCAGAACTGGCAGTGACAGTGCTAGACGCAGACTTGGCTCTGTGGAGGAAGCTCTGGCCCGTCGCCGAGCGGATCTCGCGCCGAGCCACCTCTGGCTGAAGGCCGAATGCCCCGGAGCCGTGGCACTGCCATGCCTCTTTCAGACACAAAGGAGGAGCAACACAACCCCATGGCAAGGATTCGGAGAAGCCGTGCTCCTCCCGAGGAACCGATTCAGGAAGCCTTTCAAGGTTATCATAGGGGTGGCGCGAGCTTGTCTCCCTCGAGCTGATGCGCGGAAGTTTCCTTGGGGGACCGAACACCCACCTCTGACTGGCTGGTCAACTGAGGCTGCCATGAAAAAGCCCGTGGGCAGGGGAGGATGGGGGAGAAGCCACTCCACTAGACTGCCTGCTCATCCAAGCCGCACCCTCACCACAGCGCGCAGGCCACTCGACATGACTCAATGCAAGAGTCTTCGAGGTAGACTTCGGAATGTGCTCGCCAAAGTCTCTGGCAAATGCTCAGTATACTGCATACACGGCTGCCAGAACAATAATACAACGTGTGCAGGCCAACCTCCCCCTCCCCGCAGTGCACGCAGAACGGTCTCATATCCAAACGGCACACGCGGACTCCAAATCGCAGTACAGGTCGATGCAGGGGGAGGTGTGGATCCCCGAATTGAAGACAGACCCCCGGATTGCTCCCTGCATGTAGTTGGAGTGTGGCGCGTACACGCGCGTGTAGTTTTTGCAGGTTTTTGCATGTTTTGCGGCTTCGGGGGGTGGGGGGGGGTGGGGGGGGGGGGCTTAATGACGAGCCTGTTCTACTCTTAGCAGTTCTACTACTGCTGATGATCATGCTGGGATGGAGTCTGATCTGGACGTTATCCTGCTGGGATGGAGTCTGATCTGGACGTGATCATGCTGGGATGGAGTCTGATCTTGACGTTATCCTGCTGGGGTGGAGTCTGATCTGGACGTTATCCTGCTGGGATGGAGTCTGATCTGGACGTTATCCTGCTGGGATGGAGTCTGACCTGCATGTTATCCTGCTGGGATGGAGTCCGACCTGCACGTTATCCTGCTGGGATGGAGTCTGTTCTGGACGTGATCATGCTGGGATGGAGTCTGACCTGCACGTTATCCTGCTGGGATGGAGTCTGATCTGGACGTTATCCTGCTGGGATGGAGTCTGATCTGGACGTGATCGTGCTGGGATGGAGTCTGATCTTGACGTTATCCTGCTGGGGTGGAGTCTGATCTGGACGTTATCCTGCTGGGATGGAGTCTGATCTCTTGGGTGCTCCACTTCTGCACTCTGAAGCATGCCCGACGGGGCGCCGAGCATGCGAGACGACGAAAAGGCCACTTTCCGTAACAACTACTTGCGACCAAGTACTCAAACAGCCTGCCCCCCAATGTAGGAAAAAAAGCCTGATCTCTTGAAAACCCACCCCTGCCGATGTATTCTGCACTTCCATCGCCCAGTTCAATGCGAGCAAGTAGTCAAATAGCCTCCCCCCCCTCAAATAGGCATGCGTTGCCCGGAATGCTGAAAACCCACCCCTGCCGATGTTTTCTGCACGTCCATGACCGTTTTCAATACAAGCAAGTAGGCAAATAGGCTCCCTCCTAAAATAGGCATGCCTTGACCGACATGCTCAAAACCCGCCCCTGCCGATGTTTTCTGCACGTCCGTCGATGAGAACATGCCTTTTGTACCACGCGCGGGAACGCGCCACGAACCATGTAGTTGGAAGCAGCGAGAGACAGAGAGTTCATCGTGCACAATGTTGGATCTGGCAGTTTGCGCCGAATGATGATTAAGTCGCTGAGAGATTGCATCTGGTGTGCTGTGCCCGGGCAGGCTGCTTCAAAAGTCGCTCTTCAAGGCGTTGATGTCTACAGGGGCAGGACATGTCGGTCTGGCCACAGCTGACCAGGCGAATACATCAAGGTCCCGAACCGGCTTGAGCGCGGCCAGGCCAACCCATTGCAGCGTCAGGCTGTCTGTGGTCATGTGGTCATTGTGGTCTGTTGTCCTGGAGCTTGGCGGGGCAAAGTCCAAGGGACGATTGCCTCCGGCATTGCCTCCTGGTTTGGCTCATGCGCGGCTACTTGTACAATACAATATAGTCCAGGTCTTGCGAGAACAACGACATTGCTTCCAACAATTTGTAGGTTGTGACAGGGTGTGAGCTGCCATGATTCTCGACAAGTGTGTTGACAAAGTATTAGAATCACCCCACCAACGGTATCCCAAACTTTGATGACACCAGGCGAAGAAGGCTTTGGGACGCGCTATGTGGTAAAACTTGGCTAGTTCATGCATGGTGTCCTGCTTTCGAGTCAACCCCATCCAGATCAGCGAGTCGGCTGGCTTTGCCGTGGCTTCGTTTATCGACCCTATCTCTGCAGGCCTTGTGGCAGCAAGCCGCAGGCCCTGGCTGGCCTCGCAGCTCAGACGGGTGCTGGTCCAGAGCAGCTGTGCCTGAAGACGCCTGCACGTGCGAGGCTCTACAGCACATCAGGCGGCCGGTGGTTCGTGACGGATCGCAGCTGTGCGGCACACGATGAGCCTAGACTGGCCTAGACTCCTAGAGCCAGAACTGACCTGCCATGAAGCTCCGGTGCAAATGCCTGAGGCGAGGAAGGGATTGCCTCCAACACCGGTCTCCTGGCCTCCAACGCCCTGCATCACGGGCGGCTCCCCCAGGCCAGCTCCAGCTTGCATGAGCTGTGCAGGCACACTAGGGCCCGGGGTAGGCTTGTAACGAGAGAAGACCCAAGAACGACATGCGATTCCACGGCTTGACGTGCCTGCATCAGGGTTTTGATGCTTAGTAGAACGGCAGGAGACGGAGAAGTGGCAGGAGTTTGTGGATGGGGCCTCTGACCCAGTGATGGCGTAATCAAAGGATAAGCCCTTGCTTGTGGTTTCCATGCAGATAACCAGCACTGTGTTGCTTGGTGGGAAGAGTAAGGCATGGCAGCTGGCACCGTCCGTCCTCGTAGTTGCCAAGGGCTTAATTACTTGGCCTATGCAGCAGGTTCACGAGCCGTGCCTGGATGTCAGGCAGATGTGGAGTGCCTTCATATCAGGGGCATCTCCATGACGGCCGAGATGGAGGGCGACCTCGAGGTGCGGCACCCCCTCGCACATGCGATTTTGAGACATGATTCTGGTGCACCAGGTGGAGGGTTTTGTAGCAGTTGGCAGCGGCCGTTGTGGGTCTTGTGGGTCAACTGCTGCTCCGGCCAACGAGGAGCCAATGCTTCACTGTTCAACTCTGAATCGTGAGAAAGGTTGAGAAGTCTCGGCATGTTTAAGCAGACACTGTACATAGTCGGCTCCATGTTCATGGCCAGTGAGCCATGCCGGCTGCCCTGGCTGCATGTGCACACTGTGCATCAGAGGCTCAGAAGCAACACTCTGTTCTTATTCAGCTCGGGAACGTTGCTTCCATCTTTGACTCGCAAGGCCACGGCGGCCAGATTCGGCTTTCAGTGGCGCTACCGTGAATCGGATATCTCGGCTATATGCTCTCCTGCTACTCCGACAAGGCTCGCCTTGCCGGGGCCTCCAGGATATCCCTGCAGCCATCAAGAGCAGAAGAGCAGGGGCCGTCGGGCCGTCGTGCTGCGCGCGGACTCGTTGTGACACTAAGACTAAGACTAAGATTTAGGCTTCAGATTCCGGCCTGCTGGATGCCTGGACTGGCAGAGGCAGAGCGAGACTACGTGCAGTCCGCGTTGGCGGCGCACGGAGACGCGAGGCAGGGTCATGAGCTTCGATCGAGGGCGGCGTCTCGAAGTGTCCAAGCGAGGCCAGATCTTCCACAGTCGCTGACCAGAAGGCACGCAAAGGGAGACTTAGGCAGCCGAACGAGACGTATCGAGATGCAATTCTTCAAGATCTTTCAAGTACCGAGGCACAAGAGCATGCAACGTTCCGATGCGGAAAGTAGTGAATGGATCTGTCTGGACATTCGAACCCCCAACGGTGATCCACCTTTCCGAGCTCGGGCCATGAACAAGAATCGAATCAGAAGGCCGAGCGAGGCAATCCTCGGGCAATGCACATGACAACAGTGTTTTGTTTGGATTTGTGCTCTTCCTATTTGTATTTATACTGGGACTTCCACGCTACTGCTGGAAGCTTCTGAAAAGCTTGCAACATCCAGGTGGCTTTGGTGATTGGATTCATCGGCTCCAGATACCACGGATTGCAGATCCACTATGACGAGGCAGAGACAGAACGCATACACGTTAAGATCAAGCAATACGGTGTCTGAGCGCACAAGGCTGTCACCAAAGCTGTGACCATTGAGTGGCTCCTGCGAGGGGCCTTGCTGTCCTCCGGCGTGTGGTCCCGAGAGCTGACTTCTCTCCTATGCCGTGCCACGCAAAAGCTGCGGATGCTGCCACTTCCAGGCTCTGGAGGAATCCAAAGCAACAAGCCTAGAGCGCAATGCAGAATGGAGGCCGGCTGGTGTATAGTTGCAGGATGGGCCAAGACTGGTTGATCTGGCAGTGAAGGCACTCCAGCCGAACAGATGCTGGTGTCCACGCATGCAGACTGGTCATCACGGCTCGTTTGGCTGTGGGGCGACCGGATGAAAAGGGACACAGCCGGGCTGATCTGAGCTCTGCAGTGTAGTGTAGCTGATGGCACGAGACAACGCTAGAAAACTTAGCGCTTGAGCCTTATGGTCCTGACCAGTTTGTGCAGGACACTATCCATGGCTCGTGTCGCAGCTAAACGACGCTCGGCAGCTTCAGGCAACATGTCCTCCTTCGTCTTCTCGTGCAGAGCCGTGCTCCCGTGAGGACCTACTGCCAGATGATGTGATCGTGTTTGCTGCCCGGCTGGTTCCCAGCAGCTTCGACGCTCGGAAGCTTGATTGCAATCAAGCATGTTCTGCGGGCTTACTGTTGGATACTGTTTCGTTCGCATTGCATGAAACTCTCAGCAAGACTCACCCCCAAATTTCTGCGAGAAGCAATTGTGGCCGGTAAGAGCTTTGTGTACTCAGTCGCATGAAAAGAACCCGCCATGAGCTTCGTTTCATTGCCTGGCCCTGGGGGCTTGAACAATAACATCCACACGGGAACCTGATAGCCTATGAGCAGGGGTAAGTGAGGTCGTGAGTGCAAGCACAGTCGGTCCCTTCTTTCTGGCCGTCTCAAAGATACGTTGGCTACACAGCGAGCGGGATGCCCCCACTCCCTCGACCTTGAAGGGCTGACGCACTTCTTCGTCACGGTAGATGGGTGCACAAGCTTGGCTTGGGCGGCGGGTCGATCCTTCACACGACCTGCCTTAACAGCACCGGGGCAACAGTTATCCCGGTTACCCCCTTTAAGCAGGACCGCAGCAGGGTCGTTTTGGTGGTCTTGGACGCACTCTAGGGGGATGCCGAACTCTGTGACGTGAAGAAGGCATTCCGGCGACGACAAAGCTCCCATACCCGGTTGAGATGCAGCCGGCGGATGCGGTCGTCTGCTTCTCCGGGTTAAGCTGTGCGAGCAATTTTCTTCGCTCTATTTGGAGCCGTTCTGGTCACCCAAGTTGGAGAAGCAGTCATAGGCACTGCGGCACTGCCTGCTTCGCATGCCAGAGATCTTGTTTTTAGGAAAACGTCCCTTCCAAGTCCAGTTGTCCTGATGCCTTGTCCCGTCTCGGTTTGCAAGAAGCACTGGCTTCATCGCGATGGCTTTACCATGCCATCTGGCCGAGTTTCTTTCCATGCCCTGGATTGGAGTTGGAGGTGCATCGTAAGCAAACATCTAGCATCCTTACGATGGGTTGGTCTTTGGTGGGAAGTTGAGGTATTCCTGCTCCTGGCGCGAGTACGACTACATCGTGCCCGCCAGTGCTTTGGTCAACCAGGTGGCAAGACCATTTCGAAAAGCATGTCAAAGGCTGCAGATCTTCCGTGCGATGATGGCAGGACGCGACACCGACGGGCAGTGACGTCGCTTGACAGCAGGAGTACCCCGGGACCTGACCGCAGTGGCACTAGCCGAGGCCCTGCAATCCGTGCGCAGACTGCTGCAAGTCTTCGTTGGTCGGCACTGTTTCCACAACTTCACCCGCCTCCGCGGCAGCCGAAGCCGAAGCCGTGCAGGACGCTTGTTGGGACAGTCGTGTCAGAGGGGCGAAGTGATCCAACGGCCGAAGTGCAACGGAGCTTGCCTCGCTACTCGCTTCAGGGCAGGAGATAGCTGCGCAGCTGCAATCACGAAATGATAAGTACTAACGGTACTGACGTTATGGACTGCTGTTGATGATCGCACTCGGCGGGCCAGGAGAGCCAACGCTGCACTCCGTGGACAGCTTCCGCCGAACGGAATCCAAGCTTGAGGCGTGCGACGCCCAAGTTTTGCATCTCCCAGGCCCTACAGAGGAAGCGAGCGGTCTGCCAGCGATCCACTTGAAATATGCCGCATCCGCTTTATGCCGTGCAGGACTTCATCCACATTCTCTTGCAGGGCAACCGCTTCCTGTATAACCAGTGCGCCATGCATTTGGCAGGGCTAGCGGCTAGGCCGGCTGAGCAGTGAGGCGAATGCAAAAGCCAGGATCCGGTACATCATTGGGGCTGTTGCAGCTGTGAGCGCCGGCTACTTGTCTGGAACTCAGCACAGGGGCTTGGAACATGATTCGGCTGCATTGCAGTTCGTGATGTCACATGTGATTGTCAACTACCAGCCGTTAGATGGTTCGATGATTTGCTCGGTCCGAGATGTCAAGACATAATTCCGAACCTGCAGACGCTCCTGAAACAGTGTGATATGAGCGAAGGATGTGACCAGGTGGGCATTGGCACAGAGAGACATTCGGTTTTCAAGTTGGCAGAACACGCATGAAGAGAGTTAATTCCTTGTTGCTGAGTGGCGGCAGTCGAGAACTTGGACATAAACATGCAAGCTATAGAATGCCAAAACATTGTCTTTGATGATGATCGGATTCAAGATTCTCTGCGCAGAAGGCCTGAGCCCTCGCTGCGGGCCGCACTGTGCAGTTCTGCCAGGCGTCTGGAGTGCATTGGGACACGTTCAGTGAAATGTACAGGTAGGGTCCAGGATGTTCACTTGGCCGCAGCATCACCAAAGAGTCATCGACTGGGTCTGCTAATCTTGAGCTGCTGCCATCGCTGCTGCTGTTGGGTGCTGTGGCTCTTGCTGGTTGTGGTGGTTGTGTTTTTGGCCTGTTTGTCACACGTTTGTGATGGATTTCAGAGGAAAGGCCGGTTGTCCTTTCAAGGTCGGAGCACTTCCGGATTACAGTTAGCCTGACGAGACCCGCGCCATCGATTCACACCACTTTTCGCCGGTAGCGGCAGCTGAAACGGAAGCAGCTTCTTGCCACCAAGGATGTCGTAGTGTGGGACACTGGACGCAAGATATCGCAAGACCCGCAGTCCCGGAGCAGCCAGGTTCCGATTCCCTGTCGCCCCAAGCTGCGGGCTGCTGCTGCGGACGAGCGGCTTCACAGGACTGATCGGATTTCATTTTCTTCAGCTGACTGAGCTCACTGTCGAGCAGAGATGGCGGCATCTGCGAGTTCTCGGCAGGCACAAGACAAAATCCGTGTGATGTCGCAATGGACCAAGAGCAGGTGTTCAGTCGGATGCTGCCAATGGCTACCTGGAGTGAAGTTGCAGCATGCTAACAACATGAAATCAGGGTTGGAACCATCGTCGATAGGGCCGACGAAGCTCGTCTTCCAGCTGCTGCCGTAGTTGAAAAGAAGTTCATCTTCCACTTCCGCGCGCGAGTTCTGAGTTTGCGAGTTCATATATATATATATATATATATATATCTATCATGAATCCTCCATTTCCTGCTTCGCAGTCTCGCTGTGCAAGTTTTGTTGCTGAGACTACGCGGCTTTTGCTGGACGGGCCTACATCAGCGGAGGCGCAGGCTCTCGCAGCATCGCTCACACGAAGTGACACGCTGTTCACGGAAACCCGCACCGAATGCTGCACCAGGCCTTTGAAAAGCGGGTGCTTGCAGAAGCTGCAGCTAGCTGGCAGAAGGCAATGTTGGTTGTAAGACTTTATCACCTTATCTGGTCTACATGAATCTCTGAGTGCGACGCGGCGGGCAGGACACAGTGGAGAGCTTCCGGCTGTCCTTGATGCGGGCTCGCTGTCCAGACGAGGCCTTTGCAAGAGTTTCTTGCTTTGGCGCTCTGACTCTCTGGGTCCCTGCAGGACCTCGAGCGCCTCTGCGCAACTCCACGCCACCTGCAGCCCCGTGCGTTGGCCAGTCGACAAAAAAGCAGAAGAACAATCCGACAATAGAAAGAAGACATACCTATATCTATCTATATATATATATATATATATATATATATATGAGGGATGTGGACACTTATGCACGCACCAGCTGCTAGGGGCCCTGCATGGCCGCTTCTGAGAGTCACCTCCGTGCCCACGCAGGTCGCATGTGCAGTGCCACTGCCCGAGAGGGTATGGCTTGTCTGCCCCGAGAGGGAGGATCTCGAGGCCACAGATGTGGGAAGGTGTTGGGGCGCAAGGTCCGGACAAGGTTGGTTGTCGATAGAAATGCTGCAATCGAACATCTGAACTAAGCGGGAACTCCAGTGAACCGGGCCGCCCACAAGAGAGAAAAGCCTTCGAACCTAATGTTGCACATGTATTGCCTGAACGTTGCAAACGCCCTCAAAACAGAACCCCACAACCTGCAGCAGTCCAAAACCAAAAGCATTGTCTGCGCCTGGTCTCCCGCCTTCTCGCCCGAATCATGGCGGTTGAGCAGTAGCCATGCTATGCTCGTATAAATCGTATAAAACATCTCGACAGAAAGCGCCAGGAGATTTTGCCCCAGAAGTGCGAAACATTTCAACCAGCCAGCTAGTCTTGGGGAAGAACTATGTGTAGTCGGCTCTCGAGCCTTTCAGCCTTCACCGTAATCCTGCATACGTTCAGCTGGAATGTACGAAGCAAGCAGTCGTCGCTTCAACGTCGTACTGTACTCACCGGCTCAAGCGTTGCAGCGCCGACCCGTCCCGCGCCGACCGGCGTGGCTTTGCAGCAGGTACTGATGCCTGAAAGAAGGCCCTTGCTTTCGGGGCTTATTTGGTTGAGAAGCTGCTACGGTGAATTGCACTGGGGTGTGGGAAGCATTAGGGCTTAGTTCAGTCAGTCGGCGACGATGTTGTGCTTCGGCGGACGACCTAGGCATCGGCCACTTTTCCTGGTATGCTTGCACCAGGCGCACTGCCACTGCCGGTACACAGAGGGCACGAAAGGGTCCAAACCTCTGGAGAGGTGCCGTGGGCGGCCTCGGTGATCCTGCATGGAAGAGGCCTCGGTGATGTCGAGCCTCTTTAGCTTCTCGTAGCTGCCGGCTGCTGCCAGTCTGCAATTGCCATTGCGAGGGTTGACCAAGGGCCCCCGTCCGCTTTGGAAGGTATTTTGTGGAGAATGCCGTCGTTGAACCTCTTGCGACGCTTTGTTCGCAATGACCAACTGTGGCACGGCCAGACCAACGACGCAGAGTTGCCCTCAGCCGGCTCAGGTCAGCCATGCCGACTTCAGTGTTTTTGCCACCTGGCCTCCTAGCCACACGGGCTATTCTTGCGGACAAGACGCAGGCACTGGGGTGGGAGCACTGATTGCTGACGCCTTGTTCAAGCCTCGGCTTCTCCGTATGAAAGGAAGTAGCCTCGGCGCCGATGGCGAGTCCGGGCTATGTGTGGCTGGGACAGCAGGAACGTGATCGTGCGAGGGTGTTCCTCAAGTCAGCGAGAGAGGTCAGTGTCAGTGTCGTTGCCTTTGGCCAGCTACCTGCCAGTTTCAAGTTTTGAAGCTGGAGAGACTCGCATGTCTTTGACGAGGAAAGACTAAGAGGGAGGTTATGGCTCAAGTTTCAAGGCCGGGGGTGCTTTCTCGCTAAGCCTGCAGGGTATTCCACAAAACAACTTCGGCCCAGGGTGCTCCGTGACCCTAATGGTTTGTTTGCAGCGGCTGGAGTCCCAATAAAACTTTCACAGCAGAATTCGCAACATTTCTGGCTAGTATGTGTGCTAGCCTTTCTCGCTTCGGCTTCGGTCTCTCTCCTGTCTTGTGTCGAAGCGCCACGTCATACGGTAGAACATGATATGGAGGTTTATTCTGGAGGGGAAGATGCGAAGGCGATCCTAAGCGAAACCAAGAAGTACAATGCCAATCCCCTCACATTTCTTCATGGCCATTGCCACAGAAACTGGGAAATCAGCACAGCCGTCAATGAACGCCTCCAGTTGGAGGAAGTGTTGGCGATTCGCCGTGAATTGAAAGCACATGTCGCGACTGCCACACTTGACTGGATGCTTGTGTTATAGCACACCGTCGCCCGGTGTGAGACCGTGGCAAGTGGGAGTCGCGGCGGCTGCAATGCCAGAGCTTCGTGATGGGTTGGTCGGAACGGTGCTTTGTGGCTTTTCAGGGTGGCCTTGCCCCATGTTACAATGGCGGGGAGGCTTGACGCGCACCTTAAGCCTGAGAGAAAAAGAGAGGGTCGGGTCGGGGGGATTCCGCAAGTGTAGATTCTTCTAACCGGGAAATTATCAGGGTGGCAAAAACTGTTCCCCCAAATTCTTGCATTTGCACTCTGCCGGTCGATGTTCACCGAAGTCACACACTGCTGAAATGTGAGAACACTGCGCACTTCGGGAAACATCGATCGCCTAACACGCCCCCTGTGCCATCACGAAGAAGAAGAGAGATGGCGGTCTTCCTGATTATATCATGTCGCAGCATACCCTCAACTCATCTTTTTGTTGGGCGAGCCGAGAACTGGGCTTTCACAGGTTGCCGCAGGGCGGACGTTGTCACCAGCGCAGACAGTATGTTTCCGCTTTCTTGCCTCCAGATCGTGGAGTCTGAGGTCTGTCGACAGGCCACTGGCGCTGACCCTCTTGGAGCGAGGCCTCTTTGTGGCACAGGCCGACCCGGCCCCGTGCCCAAAGCCACGGATCTCGGATGTAGCCTGCGGGCAGCACACAGCAAGGTTGCATGATGCATGCAGGGGTCAGCATGTCGGTGCCCAAACCGCAGCTAGAGTCTTCAGCCGAGGCTTGTGTTGCCAAGCTGGCCCGCAGCCCGAATGGGACCGATGTTGTCAGCAAGTTTCTCAGCTCCAACCCCACTGCTGCGCCAATGCTGGTGTCGGCGCTTCTCCCCGAAGTGGCATGCTTGGCCAGTCACCCTTATGGCGCGGGCGTTGTCAGCGAGCTTTTCTGCCACTGCCAGGACCTAAAGCTCAGTTCCGCTGTCAATGCGCTGTCGAGCTGTTTGAAGGGCTCCTTGGTGCGCCTTACCAAAGACCGATTCGGCTGCAGAGTCGTCCAGGCTGCCTTACGAGAGGCAATGCCGGAATTTCAGCAGTGTTTCGTGTCGGAGCTCCAGGGCCAAGTCCTCAGCCTCTGCCAGCACCTTCATGCCAACTTCGTGTTGCAAAAGTCCATCGAGCTCCTGGAGCCCCACCTGGGTGTCTTCATGATCACGGAGCTCAAAGACCATGCGGTCTCAGTCGCGGTTCACGTCTATGGTTGCCGTGTCTTGCAGCGTTTGATTGAGCACTGTTCGCGCGAGCCACAACTTATCGAATTGGTTGACTCCATGCTGGGCAACGCGGAGAATGTCGAGAAGCTGCTGAAAGACCTCTTTGGCAGCAACGTGCTCCGAGCTTTGCTGGTACATGGCACCGTGCATCATGTGAAAGCCGCTGGAGACGCAATGTGGCAATAGGGTTTTGAACCACATGAATACAGCTTCTTTTCTTATCGCAGTTTGCGCAAGTGTTTACATGCCACATAGGTCCTTTCACTTCGTGTGCGAAATAGACTTAGGCCCCCATCGGACATCAATTTCAGCCATGACGTATACCTCAGATGATTTGCTGAATGAAGCTATTTTGGTCATGCGGCAACCCGAGGCGATTCTGGATGTCCTCGGTACCAACGTCCTCAAGTTTGCGAAGCACAAGTGCCTAAGCACCGAAGTTCTGTCGCCTCGTTGCCCTTAGCGCCCGATGTTTCGCCGAAGTGAGCTAGAGTCAGAGGTCGGGATAAACAGCAGCAGTACGAGTATACAGAGATAGCTATTCCATAGCTTATATGTATATGTATATGTATGTAAGGTCAGGCGACGAGATTTATGTGAGGAGGAGCATGATTTTGGGCAGCTTCGCAAGGCACGCCTCTCTGGTCTTCGAGCGGTGTCTGGAGGCACAGACGCACAGGGCTCCTGTGCTTCGTAGGATCGGTTTAGGACCTCGGGTTCTGATGGTGGCGCGTGCTTGAACCGCCGGGGCCGGATTCAGAAAAGAGGAAGTTAGGTCTAGGTCTTAGGGTTTAGGCTTTAGGGTTGAGCTTCCCAGCTGATCGGCAGAGTCTGGGTTCAAAAAGGGTTGAGGTTGACAGCAGTCCTCGGGCAAGCAGGGCTTTGTTGAGAAGATCTGGCAACCTACTTGACGACTGTTTCCTTCGTTCCAGGTCCAGGTTTGGCGGTCAGGCATAGAAACTGTTTCTGTCGCCCCCTCGGTTGCATCCCTCGTGAGAGCCGAGCAGGCTTCGCTGCAAGGGAGTTCGCCGGCATAAAATCCAAGCCGATGCTGACATGTTCAATGCTTTTCAGGCAGACGGGTGTAGAGTGTAGAGGATAAAAAACGGTTCTGCGACTCGGTTCTTCTTTATCCTCACTCAGGCAGCTTTGTCCGACTCCAGTCTCCTTTGGTTTCGTTTTGTGGTCTCGTCGATTTTGACTCGGCCCTCTTTCGAACAGCTTGAAACACACCCCAACTTAGCAGTCACGGGCCCTTCACATACCCTCACAGAAACAACGTCTGCATCGTGTCCCAAGATACCCCAAGAGGAAGACATGCTGGCGGAGCCCCTCTTTTGTCACTCTGGCCTTGGTCAGGTGTCGAGCAGCTGTGAAGAGCTTCGCCTGCCGCGGAAGCAGCTGATGGCCACCTTGTGGGGGTATGTTCTTGCAAAGCTGGCTCTGGCTTTTGCAATGGGTTGTGGAATTACGGGTTGCATGTTGCTGAAGGGGGGCCTGATCGCACTGCCCAGCTTGGAGTGAGAGAGGGTCTGCGTGGCTCGGAACACCTCTGCCACTAGACTGAGGCTAGCAGCTTTCTTCCTTGTGCTGAGTCCTGAAGTCCGGGCAGAGGTTTCTTCTGAATCCGGTTTGCCGTGCACTCCTTTCCTGTAAGGATTCGCCAGCAAGAGCAGGGATGGCAGATGCTACAGCTTGCATCAGCTTGCATGGAATACTTGTAGAACCTTCCTCGCGAGGGCGAGCACGTGCGACCAGGCTCAGCTGATTCAGAGCAACCTCTCGGGCAAGGCTCCTCTCGGCCAGGCGCTCTTTTGGTGCTCTCCCGTCATGGGCTGTTTGCATGTGAAATTTCGTGGATATGGCTATGGGGGAGAAGTCTCCAGGGGGCGGGTTTGACACTTCATAGGACATGCCTTGGCAGTTCAAACCCAAGAGACTTCGAGACATGGGTGGAGTGGTGATCTTCTCCCACAAGACGCTTCGGAAGTTGGCTTCGCAGGTTCTGCTGGATCGCTTCGGCAACTATCTGGCACAACGCGGCTATGGCTCTAATTGAGCAGGGGTCATGGCTGCTGTGGTGTAGAGGGGCCTGCATGGCCTGCCAGACCGCCCAGCACGATCTAGCAGTCAGCTTTAGATGTGATGGAAAAGGTACGCGACGAGTCGTTGACGCAAGATCCCAATCCGAGGTGTAATACAGTGCTGCTGCAGCGACGAAGAGGAAATGTCGCTCAGAGCTGGATTCGCTCTAGCATGCGCGCTAGAATTCGATATATTCTCAAGAGCATTGGGGAGCAACAACGGCCACAAACAATACATGCGTGAGACGGGTTCATGTCACCTCTGCGTGCCATTCAAGGGAGAACCAAGGATAGTGAAGCTCTTGGCGTCCTGCTGGCCAAAGCTGCAGCGCTCACCGGTGGGAAGGCACATCATTGTGGCGGCCACGCGAAGGTTTGGACGGAACTTCCAGGAAATTATGAAAAAGAGTAGCCAATAGCAAAGAATGTATAGTGTCTAGAGCACGACATGACTCGTGTGCAAATTCGCCTGAGAAAGCTGCGATTTGAGAGGCCCTCATTCTAGTTGGGGGGCTCTCAAGCTTTACAGATGCGGTGCTGCCTGAACATCGAGCACCTTTCGGCAAGTTGCGGCCTCTCCAGGTGTTGCAAGCCTTGCAGGCTCGCCGTGCAGACGCGCACAATGCCGTCGTGATATGGGTTCGACTATCATACGTAGCTTCAGCCAGAGTTTTGTTTTACACATCTTGGTGACTCATTCATTCCAGACCTAGAGTGCTTTCATCCTGCTTTTGGTAGGGCCCATGCCAGCATTCCTCCTCGTCATCTTGTCTGGTGCAACAGTAGGCACCATCGCGTTACGCTCAACCCGCCGTGTACGAAGCTACGGCTTCACGATGGAAGTTCGACCAACAGAACTATGTTACTTCCTGCCGCCAATTCGGAAGTCGCGCCTGCTGGCTTTGGCCTCCAATTCGTGGCTGGTCGCGAGCCAGCAAATAGGGTTTTTTTGCGAAGTGAATGACCAGCTTATCCCCGGAGCTTCGATCACGAAGCTCGCATCGCGAAGACAGGGCAAGCTGGTCCGAGCTGAGATGGTCCGTGACTCTTCCTCGACTCAAGCTTCAGCTCGGGCTGAGTCAGATGGAGCCAAGGTAAGATGGACAGAGCAGTGCCCGGTAAGCTGCTGGTTCGGAGGAAGCTGTCTCGAATCCCTTCAGCTCATAGCTCATGGGCTTTAACATTCTGCGTCTTGGGACTGGACATCTGCGCGAGTATCAAGGCCGTGCAGTCGTCTGGCAGCTTTCGTCAGCACTTCACGTGCATGGTTCTGAGACTCCTGCTGCGTCGGGTGGAGAGAACAGGCGCAGAAGCGACTAGAATGCAAATCCTTGTCGAAACCCACGGAAAGCCCACGCAACCGCAGGACCTCTTGACTGCAAAGTTTGTTTCTGGCATTCGGCAGAGTCCGGGGTACAAATCCCCTCTGTGTGACGGGACCGTCTCGACGCCCGCCGCAGGCCAACACAGTCAAGAAACGATAGTATGATTACCAGCTTTGGTCAGAACTCAGACATGCGGGAGCAGGATTATGGCACTTCAACTTCGCAATGCTGCTTTGTGGCGACACGGGTCTCATAGTCATACAGTTGGTCACAGGCAGTGGAAGTCGTAAGCAGAGCCGTCATGGAGAGTCGTCGGCGTCGTCGTCGTTGTAACGGCAGCAACAGCCCAGGATGTTGGCGATGATAGCCAAGATAGCCATATCTGCAACGGCAGCTGCTGCAGTACTTGTAGAAGGGCAGCAGCAGTGGCAGTTGTCGTCATCGTCGTGGTTGTCGCTGGCGTAGGAGTACCACAGCACTGCCAGCCACGGTTGCACCTGCAAAGTCTTACTGTAGTGCCGGCGGCGGCTGTGGTGGCACAGAAGCCGCCGTGCAGTAAGTATTGAACATCCTGCAACACATTTAAAGTGCCATCGCACTTGCATTCGAAAGTAGAGTCATGATCAGAGAGGCAACTTAAAACCGTTGCAGTTGGTTTACTGTAATAACTAGGACTGCAGGGACAGATGTTTCTTGAATGCGAGCCTGACTCTATGCAGAACAGCCGGGACGAAACGTGGGCCGTGCGGCCTTCGATTACTCGTGCATGCACAGTGCTTTGCCAGTTGCCGGTATTGCCGACCTGCAGTGCCGATATAGCTACTGATGGTACATATAAGTTGTATACTGATGATGTATACTATGTCGAATTGCCGGATTGCCTGGCGCTGCCTGGGCTGCTGTTGCGTTCCGTTCGAAACGAGAGCAGCCAACGAACGGGTCTAAGAGCCCCAGTTGATGGTTGCACTTGAGTCAGGCATATGGTCTGAGATCGCCTGATGAATCAAAGGTCCCGTGCCGTCTGCGTGCACATCATTTCGAGTGGCATAGTCTTCCAACTTGTGAGCGATTTTTGTAACCCTGCTGGAACGTTTTGGCTCGTGGCCGGTGGAGCATATTATCAAAGCTTAGCAACGCCTTGTCACGTCGCAGCCCCATTTAGAGTGGGGAGCTTCAGGCACAGATGCAGAATGTGCCGTGCCGAGGTGCAGCACTTGGCACGGGCACGTTTGGAATCCTGTCCGCTGTTATCTCTGGGCCGGGCACCTGCGGCTTGATTCGCTCCGCGGAACCAGCACCACAGTATCACGTCGTCGGAGGTGCAAGCAGAACGTGCAAAGCCCTCCATGCAGCAGCCCATCAAGGACCGAATTGCTTGTTGCAAAAAGCTGGGTGGGTGGATTTTTGTCCGCGTGTTTGCAGACTGCACCCGGTTCAGGAGCTGCCAGTGGCACCCACGCTGCTGAAATTCTTGCCCCCACCAGGCAGAGGAACAGCATGCTTGTCTCCATGCAATTGCAGGTGTGCCGGGCCAATTCAGCAACAGAGGGTGTGCGACAACGGTTATCAATATGGGATTGTGGGAGATGGCCTGGAGCAGGCACCATGTCGCCATGTGAACCTTTCTTCATCACAATCGCAGGCTTTGAGCACTTCGCGCAGAAAACCTTGACCGCAAATGCCAGGCTGGATGGCTAGATTCAAGGCTGACAAACCTTTAGCCACCAGAGGTTTCTAGCAGCTGGCACGATACGCGACCCAAGTTTGTGCCCGGCCTTCTTCATCAGGAGTGGAGAGTCGCATCGCTGCTCGCGTCACTCGGCCGCATACAACCCACCTCGCGTACATGCTCACGAAGCATCCGCCCCGGCTGAACTTGCGTCCGCTTCCTGTGGCGAGAAAGCTCGACGAAAATGCACTGCTCCACCGGCCATGCACCCCAAGTTTCATGCAGGGAATGGGGCCGAACAACCGGATCGCGGCGGTCAAACGTCTCCGAGCGACACCGGCCTCATAAGTTCAGCAGCTTGCCCCGAAGCTGCCGGTACCGACATCGCAGGCCATGGACATCCAGTAAGTAAGACCGCTTGGCAGCACTGTCCCGACGCACGCCCTTTGTCAGATTACATCGTGAAGATTATCAGGACGGAAGCAGGCGCGAATAGCAAGCCAGACGATTCAGACTTGCAGCATGAATACTTTGCACTTGCGTGAGGCGCGGAGGGGATGGTCCAATGCCTGGCCAGCGCCAGTTCGCTGGGCCTTGCAGTGGCTGTTGCGGCTGTGCTCCCGGAGCTGCCGGAATTGGCATGTTGGACCCCCAGGGGGCCCGAGCCCTGCCGTTAGGGCCTCACGGTACATGAAGCGACATCAGGTGATGCCCATGCATCCAAAGTCCTCATAGCGCTTTTGGAGCACCTGGCTGGCACACAGCAGTTTCGATTCTCCTGGCATCTGGGGCACTCTCATGCAACCGTTGAGGCACTGCAGGGATGTGTCCCAATATCGGGTGAGACTCGTCCAACGTCTTCGTGGGCATTTGCTCAAGCTGACGAAGGCCACCCGCCGCAGCCAATGAAGACGGCATATCTGTGCCGAAGCCAACATGTCGAAAGTCACGGTTGGATGGCTAAGGACAAAACCGGCTGCGTCGTGATGCAGCGCATGCTGGACGTAGCAGCAGTAGAGCTGCAAAGTTGTTTGCCCCTGGAACTGCGAGGTAAAGTGTTCCTCGTCTCAGATTGCAGTCTTGCGAGGGCATGCCCGAGTCCGGTCACTGATCTTCCGCTCAAAACTCGTTCAGCCTTGCACAAGGCTAGCATGCAGCCAACATCTGCACGGAAACTTCGTGCTGCAGTCACTCGGCAGACATCCTGGACTTGATGCAGCGCATTCTTGGCACGAGGTCTGTGGAATTCAGAGCTGGATGGCTGTGATGCTCGCGCACACACATGTGCAGGAATCAGGGAAAATGCAAAGCCTGGGCTCTTTCTGAAATCATCTCTGGTATCCTTTGCAGAAAGGATGATGTGGCAGACTGTTTGGCATTACAACAGCACGACTACCATCTGAATCGCAACTAAGAAGCTGCAGAAGTCTTTGCCGCTGAGTTTCTGAATGATAGTAAATTCCATTACTCGCAAAGACGAGCTGCAGTAGAGGGTGGTTTGGGGGTCGTTTGGCTTCTTGCCCGACGAGGCGCTGCGTGGAGGTTTTCCCGCCAGAGTCCCTTTCCTTTCTCATCCTTGAGTTGAAGGCCCGCCAGGAAAGATCGCAGCGAGCCTGTTACACTTAGTCCCGGAGCTGCCGTCGGGTCAGAGACAGAGAATGTGCGCCTTTCTGAGGGAGTGCATGCGTGCGCCCGGGCGGGTGAGCGAGTGTGTGCTTGAGTACGTGCGTGCTTGAGTGCGTGTGCGATGTGTGCCTCAGTGTGTGTCTGTCTGGTAAGGGCAGGGTCGTAAGATACCGTGAGATTTGGCAGTGGCACTGGGCAGACCTTGGCAGGGGCATGCCGCCTCCGTCGCCACGCACATCTACGAGCCTCGGCCAAGACGCAGGAGTCAAGAAGCTGGCAGCAGTGGGAGCTTGCCAGAGCAATATACCAAGTCTGGCTCTCCTTTCTTCCTGAACTGCAGGGCTTCTGTTTTTCAATGGAAAGCCAATGCCGATATTTGGCCGGCGGGTGGGTGGCAAATTAAATGCTGTGGGTTTTGGATGCTAGCCTCGGCCTGTCTCGCTTCAGGTGGGCTTTTGAGGTTTTCGGTGTAGGAGTTGGTATAAGAGTCTGAGGCTTGTCGTATTCTGCAGCGCCTGGTGGAGCGTTGTCCATCGCATCCGGAGATGCCGGAGCTGCAGCTTTGGCCATGTTTTGGCGGCACAGGGTTTTGGCTCCCTTTCCGGGAGGGCACCTGCACGACCTGCACCTCCGCACAGCTCGGAGACGTGCGCTGAAGGAATGGCTTAGATGCGGGAGCAGATAAAATTCAGCAAGACCTCCAGCTGGTCATCGAGTTTCAGCTGTCCATGATGTCAGGTCTTCGTAAAAGTCTCGTGCACGCTGTGCTTGCCGTCTCAGGCTTCAGAGCATCCTTCAACCGATGGACCAGCTGGAGCGACTCTGCAAGGATCCCTACGGAAACAACGTACCTTTACAGCACTGGTACTGGTGTCGGGTCATGCGCAGAAGCTCTGCGCCGCCACGCTTGCTTTGGCAAATCTCAGGTCATCCGCAGCCTCCTCCTCCGAGGATCAGGAACTGCCGCGCGCTTCGTGATCAACGCAATCAGCACCGAAACCTGGCGATGTCTTGTTGGGACAGAGCTGGGCACGACTTTCAGTCGCAGGTGAAACTGGCAAGACCGAGAGGTAGCCGAGGGCCCTTCAAACCGGACCTGTTCGTGAGATGATGCCGCAATCCATGACGCGTTGATGCCAGGATGTTCTGAAGTTCTCCCGGAATCGACACTCCAGCTTGGCAACGGGGCCGGATTCGTCACATTGGTTTCAGTCATGTTTGGCACAACCGCTTCTGTCATAAATGCTGACGGCCTCGAGTGCCCCAGATGGAATCTTGCTTCCAGGTAGTGGAGCGATGCATCATGGTGTCGAGTGATGAGCGTCAAGAGGAGTTCGGATGCGCCAAGGGCTCAGAGACAGTTCCGTTGTTTGAGTAGCGCTACTACCGAAGTAGCTTTAGAAGTTCATTCGTTCAACCACTCAGGAGAGAGCTGCATTGATGGGAGCCCTCCTCCTGGATGGATCCGGTGGAAGCAACCCAGCCTTTGCGCAACTCATGTTGGAAGCTTGGCTGGCGTAGGCCGTGACAGCGTTCAGCTCGCGCCGGCAGCTGCGTAATCACCTTTTTTGTTGTTTGGAGTCGATGTTTACCCTGCAACCAGGCCCTCGCTTAGAACGCAGGGAACAAAGCCTCGTGGCCTCGTGAGATTTGAGCATACATTGGGCTTTCTCAGCCTCCCCCTGCATTCACGCCCGGCTAACCGCACACAAACAGGTCTGCTCCCAACAAGGGTTAGAGTAGCTAGAGCTGCCAGCGCACTGCTGCTGTACATGTTGCGATTCTCTGTTGGATGTCATGCATGGCGGGCATTGATATTGACATGCTGGACCAAGTTCCGCACAGCCAGCAAGAGTGGCCACAGATGATCCAGCCAATGTCTCAAAAAGGATTCAAAGCACTGAAGCTGTGAAGTGGGTGCTTCAGCAGCTTTTAGCCATGGGGTTGTGCCGCTCGCATCCCAACAGGGCTTTCGTGAGGGTCCCCGTCAACACCTACAGCAAAACCGAGGTCAGGGCAAGCTGCCCCAAAATCTGAAATCTGCACACCCACGGTTGGGGCAAAATGTCAATTGGTCTAGTCGGCCATGCATGGGGTTTTGGCGAACAGCTGTGGTCATCATGATGCACCTGGGGGTGAATCATGCACCTAGGGATGAATCAGACATCTCACGAGACTTCACAGCGAGGGGCTCAGAATATGCTTCTCGCTTGACCGCAAGCGGCCTTTGGCAAAGCACATATGCTGGACCAGCCAGTCAACCGAGCAAATCAAGAATCGTCAACAGAGTCGCCGGAGAACCAGCACAACAATCATACCACAACGACTATGGCTCCTACCTACATTAAGGAGCTTCATCTCCGCTGAAAACTTGTCCTCTTGTGGCCTTCTCCGAGCTTGTCTGAGCGACAAGGATCGCTTCGGCAACTACATCGCTCAGCGGGTGATTGAGTGCTGTCAGGGCACTGAGGCCTTGCCATGGGTGCCAAGCAAAGCTTCTGAAAGGTCTTGGTCCTTGGTTTTCGAGGCAGTTCTACGCCTTATATAGATTCAGGGTGCTGCGGTGTCGTTTATTCTGATCAGAAAGGCTGCGTGCTACAGCACGTGCTGGGCTCAGAGGCCGAGCAAGCAGACTAGACGAACATGCTACAAAATGCACGCAACTGATTTGCTATTATTGCCGGATCTCTGACATCAGCGATGCTTGTTGTGGCAGCTGAGCGCATGTTCTCGGTTCAATCTGGTGTCTGTGGATTGCGTTACACAGCCCTGTTCGTTGAGTGTCTCACGCTGCCGCGAAACCGTGAAGGCTCTCCGTGTCGAACAGCTGCTTCACAGATCTTGGGCCAAATTGCAGACACTCGCCTTGCATTCTACCAGATTCTACCATGTAGATGAAACAGGGAGTGGTGGTCAATCAAGATGTCTTTTTGAAAGGATTTGGTAAAGGTACCTTGTCATACCTGCCTTGCCTTTTTCAGAAGCTTAAGGTGTTCTTGGATGCCAGCAGTGGCGGTCGAAAGAGTAACTTGCGGCTTGTTGTTGCTGACCGGCGGGCTTAACCAAGTTGAACTCCATGCTCAGTGAGCAGTACTTGGCCGAGAAGCAGGCTAGTATAGGCGTGGCAAGAACCGCAGACGCAGATGCGGCAGCAAGATTCATACCAGTAGAAACGTCGTGGTTCGACAAGCCACGGTTTTGAGGGATCGCTTGGTGGGCTTTTCCATTGGAGGCATCGCAAAAGTTGCGGCGCAAGCTGAAGATCTAATTGAGAGCCTGTGGTATTCTCAGCTAATGTAGACCTTGAGCCAGCCTGAAAACAAGCACCCGGCCCTTTCTCCTCTCGAGCACAGCACACCCCTTTTCGCATTTGGTTTGTGTTTCTTCGTTTCACTGCAAGCATCGGTGTTGTTGTTGTTGCCATTGGCAATATGAGCGAGCTTACCCAGCTCGTGAGCAGCAGAACCAAAGTTTCAAAGGACCCCCGCCCGAACGCGAGAGTTCAGCTCGATCTCCCAGCCAACTCTGCTCAGTCCGGCACTGCGATCCTTTGGGAAACAAAACTTCACCACTCCTAGTCTCACTCTTTGCATGCCTCCCTCAACGCCTCTGCAAGCTGGACCCTGATCTCGCCAAGGAATTCATCCAATGGGAGACACATCATAGCAGCTTCCCGCCGGGATGGCTGACGTGAGAAGCACAACCTTGCCCTCTCATTTCAGGGTAGCATGAAGACCTGCACCGGTCTCGCGCCACGGTTTCTTTGATTGAGCTAAGTCTGAATCGTCTTGATCAAGATGCTTGCCAAGGCTGCCCGCAAGCGATTTGGCGGCGGCGAGATGGTTGCAACGATCAGCTTATAGAAGATCTGTCACAATCCTTCGCGAACCTCAAGTCCGGGGCTGAGCTTCAATCGTGAGTCCGCGCAAGCCACGGTGTCACATCTTTACTCGCATGATGATTGGTATTCCAGAAGCGGCCGTACTGAGTTGCACACCATGACATCATCCCAAGTCGTCGACCTGTCAAGTCACTCTATGCTCCGCCGCTAGAGCATTGTAACTCAAGTCTGTGCAGTCTCGTGTTTCGGAAAGAGATCTCCGAAGGCCATGCTGACTCGGAGCACGTATGCAGCTCGTATTGCGTATGGATAGAAGAAGAGAAGCGCAGCAGCCTTCCTCTGATTCTAAGGCTCCTGGAACACCGAAGTTTTTCAATTGGTTTTAAGTCACTTGCTGCGAAGAATGCTTTGCGGCAGACCCCCGGGTTGACGAGGTATCGGATCCCTGTCATGTGCTGGGAAATAGGAGACTTAAGCTCATTGTCATAATTGTGGCTGCCATGCGCATGGGGGATCTGGACATCTTTGCCTCTCTGGGATACTTGCAAAGCACTACGCTGGATTGCTACAGTCCCGTTTCAAGGTGTACGACTGCCGTGCTGAACTAATTCGAATTGCAGTTGCCTCGGCCCACATGGTCATAGAGGACATCTTCGTGAAGTCTGTCTTTCGCAGTTAAAAAGTGTTCGGAAGGGCCTACAGGAATAGGATTGTGGAAGCTCTAGACTGACAGAACTGAAGCCAGTCCTGACTGTGTAACATTTGGTCGAGACTGCTGGAGCAGTGAACTCTGCAGGCTAGCTCAGCTGCTTGGGTTACCGGACACTCCGAGCTGATACTCCAGGTGCGCGAACCGACATAACAACTGCTGGAACTCGGTGAGGTTTTAAGCATGATAGCAAGATGATAGCATGATACTTCGGCTGGTCTGAACTGGGGGGAGCTCGGGGAGCTCCCGCTCGCGCCGCTCTGCGGTGCGCGCGCCGGTGACGTGTGCAAACGATACTAGTAGCTCAATAGAGCACGGAAGCTTGTTGGGAAGGTCTAGGCAGTGCCAAGGTCAATCCGAGCCACCGAAGCTTGCAGACGTATGCTGCAGCGATGCACGGGCTCTACCTTGGTTGAGTGTGTGGGCCAGATTCACCTTGGCATCTCAAGAGTCGAGAGCTGTATTAGTCTCGCGCAGCCGCGCCATCTGCCGAGTGGTAATCCCAAGGGTTAGCCGGTTCATAGATGACCAAGCTTCTAAAGTCTAAAGCTTTAAAGAATTTTCGTGCATAGCACCTCCAGCTCCGGTAGCACGGGATAAGTGCCTGCTAAAGGCCGGCCAAGCCACTTCGATCTCTTGCCTTCTCTGAGGAACCCGGCACCTGACTTTGGCTCAGTACCAGGGATGAGACCTGGCATACTTCGAGATCTCAGTCAGCTGCACACAGATCTAGTGTTTTTTATCTGCCCGGAAATTGAAACGTCAAGAGTTTTCCCTGAAGCAAAGCCTATACTCCTCACTACTGCGTTTCCGCGCTCGACTTGATAAACGACTTACATGCCAGCGATATGACTGGTCCAGTTATCATGTTTCATACAGCGCGAGCTGACCATCGTGGTTTCAAGCTCCGTGGCATTGCTTTGTTCCGTGTCACAGTGCCTTGGACGAATAGCGAGGCACTGTCAGATCCCAAGCCCTTTCGGGCAATGTTTGAAAGCAGTTCAGGCGGGGAGGGGGCAGGGAGAGCAGCATCAGCTTTGCCAGGACAAGAGCTGGCGAGCTCCAGTGTGTGAGTGGTGCTGGTACTCCTCGCCTTCTACGTTAGCAAACGTTGGTCGGGCGATGTCCATAGTGTCAGTTCGCAAAATCTAGAGCTAGCATTTTTTCATGCAAGAACTGGTCTTAGATCGGCCCTGAGAGAGTGCAGTCTGCCTCCTCCTGTTGCGCAAGTTGCAAGCCTCCAGTGACTGCAAGCTTTGATCCTAGAGGATCCGGCAATTAACCTCTGAATCGCTGCAGCGGCTTGTTGTATAATCCCTTTCGATTGATGAAGGATGGTGGTAGGGCCATGGGGTGCTTCTTCTCTAGCGACCGGTTGCTGTTGCACCGTTCATGGGGCTGGCCAAAGAATGCGAGTTATCGCTGTCGAAGAGCGACTGTAGTGCAGTTGCTCTTCGCCGAGCTTTCTGGCTGAGCCGCCCAGTACTCCAAGATCAAGATGGTGAGCTCCCCCAAGCTCAGCCAGGCCAAGCCATGGCTTAGCAACGATTCAGCAATTCGGTGCATAATAGCTGGCCCTATAGGTGGCCTTCATCTTGGAGCCCTTGCCCCATTGAGCTCATCGAACCCTTCAGCCCGGGGATCGGGGGGCCATCCGAAACCCTCTTGCCGAGTTCTGTTCGAAGGACACATGGTTCAAAACTCCCTGGCGGGGCATGCCCAGAGGTTTGCATCTTCCGCTGGAGTATCGACTTGCACTGCACTTGTCTGGACTTTGCGCTCTGCATGGCTCAAGAGCTTGAGCCGCTTCGCATTGGCACCAGTTTGACGCGCACCTGGAAAGGCAAGTCAGCCAGGAACTCAGTTTCTGAAAGCTCCGTCTGCGACGCTGCGACTTGAGTCATCCGGCCTGGCCAAGGCTTTGAAGAAGGACCATGGAGATGACCCAAGGCCCTCGGCAGTTCTTGGCAACAAAGCCGCCAGCCTCTGTGTGAGCAATTCTGGAGGTTCTTATGCACAGCAGCTTCTCGCTACCTTCCTTCAGAACCAAAGCGCCAAAACGTCCTTTCCGATGCAGTGGGCTCCGGAAGCTTGGCATGCTCTTGGCACCGCTTCTCGTCTTTTTATCCCTGGCAGACATCAGGTGGCACGGCAAAGTAGTATCAACGAGTAGCGGCGATTTAGGGGAAGTTCAGGGGTCATGATGCAATGTGGGGTTACCATGCGTCGAAGGAGATGAGTTCACATCCCTCTTTGTTGCCGCAACCGTGGCCCGTGGTTTCTGGATGCACTCCGAGAGAACCAGATCTGTTTTCAATGACATCCTGAAGATCAGATTTCTGATTCTCTTCCCAGGCTTCTCAGGCACCTCATGCATTGGAGGTCGCCCGTGCCAAGGTGGCCCAGAACCAGGCAGTTTCCGCTGCTGACGCATCTGGTGGTGTGCTTGGATTGGACCTGTGCTCAGGCGGATCTCCAAGCTGTGCGGCCTCCGCCAGGTTTCGTCTGGTTTAAAGCTGGTTTGTCACTTGGCAATTGCCTCCGCGGTGTAAGGCTTGGAGCACATGCTGTCCGCTCCGAAGCCTTGCGTTGTGCCAGTGGGGCGCTTCGGCCCAGCTCTCAGCGATGGCCCACAAGATTGGTGGATGTTTTGAGGTTTAAGGTTGTGTTGTGCCTGCCAAAAGCACCATGCCCCCAGTCGAACGCATCGGACGATATTCGCGAACGTCCAACGCGAACGCTCATGCGGCTGAAACTCCGGTGCGGCGTGCCTAACATATCAGCATGCAACCAAGACAACACGAAACCGACTCGGGGCCATTGTTCTTCAGCACCTGGATCCAAAGCCGAGAATGTCCCAGACAGCGGCATGAGAGACGCCAGAGTTTAGTATCCACAAGGGGACAGCAGGAAATGCAAAAGTTGCTATTCTCGGATTATCAAAGCGGAAACACTCTTGTATCGGTCGAGGTGTCTCCCATGGTCCTGCCGCCCCTTTGAGTGAGCACGCCCAAAAACCTCCAGAGGAGTACTTGTCACGAAAGCTCTCCCCAGAGAGCCTTTCGTGTCAATGGCCAGAACTTGTTGGCCTAGAGGGTTTGGGGGGGCCCCGGGCAAATGTGGCTTCGGTTGGGTCTGGTTTGGGCAGCTATCCCGCACTGCAAGGGGGCAATTAGGGGTCGCCCCCGCCGGGTCCGTCGAAATGTGAACATGTGGCGGCGGCCTCTCGTCGTGCTTTTTTCGCGTGCAAAAGTTCCAGAGTTCCATTGACAACAGTGCTCAGCACCAACATTCTGCTTCCATCTTTCTGGTTGGTGCTTGCTAAGCTGGAAAAACCCTCCTTGAACGCGAGACGGCGCGATGTTGTTATCCTCATTAATCTCACACTCCCCCTCGGTATCATGTTGGTTTGCTGCTCGTTGGCCCTGTGCTTGCCGGAGGGCTGGGCTGGTAGACACGGTAGCACACCATCATAATCCACCATACCTGCCTTGCCTTCTGTGGTCACAGTGGTCACTACAAGTAGGTCCAGACTCTGGCATGCACAGTCCCCGCTCCTGCAGTTGCTGCTTCTTCTCCCCATGCTGCTCCGGAAGCACTCGGCGTCGTCGTCGTAGCAGAAGTGGCGGAAGGAAGGGTAGTCTCGACTAGGAGGAGAGATGAGAAGAGCACAGGTAAACGAATTGCTGTGGCCGTTGCTTCTGCCTGCTGGTTTCATCGGCTTGACAGGCTTGTGTTTCTCGTTTGCAGTGGACTCTATGATGTAGTGTCGATCAGGCGACGGAACTGGGAAAGCGCGTCAGATTTCCAAATCGTCAATGTCAACTGCACCCTCGGAAGCAGTGATCGAAGAAATGTCAGACTTGGAGGCTCGCTGCACGTGCATCCCGGAAGCTGCCGCTGGATGGTCAGAGTAGGATGCACCCATGACAGGAGATCGATTCCAATTGTTCCAGTCCAATGACTGCAACGAGATTTGATGCACCTTCAGGCCCGGCTTGCAGGGACTTTCGCAACAGTTTAGGTCCAGGTACTAGTTGAGAGGAGTCGAATTCAGGCCAGCCAGAACATGTCAGGAAGCGGTGTCATGCATCCAGCACTGGCGGTGAGAAGCTTTGATGCTGCGACATTCGGCCGCAGAGTCTGTCGCAAATTTTCCAATGTTTGAACTTCCGGACATGTTTTGTGTTGCATTGACTAGGGTACTAGATTTCGAGAGTGCAACGCCCTGGTGGCGTGTATTTCTCGGTAATTTAGTGGTTTTCACACGAGTTTTTGCACCCAGAATTTTAAGCGTTGTGTTGCCTCATCCAGGCATTGCACCCTTGATTTTGAGTCTTGGGCATGTCACCAAGTAGGAGTTTGTTGGGGAAGAGGGAGGAGGTTTGCCATCCAGCATCTCCATTGAAGTTGAGGTGCGTGATCTGGCATATCATGTCAAAATCATTACGAATCCATCACAACCGCTGGGTGTGTATCCACATATGCATCTGACTTTAATGGATGCGTGCTTATGGAAATGTGTATATTTACATGTGCATACGAATGTTGGCCTGTAACTTATTGTATATATCATGTCTTCAACTCGGGAATGAAATTGTGGTATGGGCTGCAGCATAAATGCTAAAAGACTATATTGACAGGCAGACCGTCATCGATGTGTACAACCGCATCTGAAGCCGTGGCGAAAGGAATGTCTACACTCCTACACCTATAAAGCTCTGAGGGGTTTGCCACCTTTGAAAGAGTTTTTGGGTTTGCTACCCATCATCTACTATTGAAGCCTTGGATTGAGAGTGCGACATCTTCTAGTCTGCCTGTATTTGGGAAAACAGTCATCGATTTGAGGATCCAGTTGTGGTTCCGCCACTCATCGAACTTCTACGGGGGTTTGGCTCATTACATCCATGTGCGGCATTGTTTTTTAGCCGAATGTCTTCCAGAGAGTTTGGATGCTCTGGACACACGTCATCCTTTTCGGTACTTAGGTTCGCTACACACTATATATCTTTCGAGGATAAGTGTAGCCCGTGATATGTGCTAAAGTGTTTAGACTCTGGTTTTTATTCTGGTGGTCTCCCAGCATCCCCTACTGTGATTCGCATTTCTGGCTGGGTGGGCCACACCTTTTAAGGATTAGCTTACGGTGTAATAGGGCATGTTAATCAGTTCTTCTATTGAGGACCTGTTGTTCGCCATCATCCACCCACTTCCATGTAAATCCCAAAGACAATGTAATTAATTACCCATTTCCGTGATGCACGCAAAGTTATATGTGTGTGTATGTATGTATACATGTGTCATCCACCCATAATATGCTGGCAAGGTTCCAATTTACATCGTATGTGCAACTGCAGAGTGGCCTTGCGGTTACATACCCAGGTACTTGCATGTATATCACAAAAAACCTATGTATATATGCATATGCATATACATATATATAGATATATGCATATACATGTGTGTGCGCGTGCATGAGCTTCCAAAGTTCACGAACTTGTATATGGTTGCATAGGCTTCGAGAGTGCATGAACTTGTATACGTGCATATCTATGTATATATATATATGTGTACACACACACATATATATATATATATATGTGGAGGACGTGCTTCTACACAGATTTGAACTTCCGCATCCTGTACCCACCATGCCCATACGGGGTTTGGGATAGGAGCCTGAGGCCCTCCATTTTCCTTTGAGTGCATGGCTGCCTAAATGCTTCATTGTTGCATACACATATGCTCGCATATTCCAGAAATATAGCACATGTTTCCGTGATGCTTATGTATGTACGTATACCCGTGTATGTACATATGTATTAAACATATATGTATGTGTGCATAAGGATTGGAAAAGCATGAACATGGAAACAGCATGAGCATGTGTGTATGTAAACATACACATCCATATGCAGGTGTGTATGCATGTCATATACCAACATGCATGCACAGACGTGTATATAGATACTTACATACATATATATATATATATATGTAGGTACAAACACCTATATACCAAGGTTGGCTTGCAGGTAATTATATATGTTCCGCCTCAAATGCAACAACTATTTGTAACTTGGAAGTTTCGCTGCATTGTCTAAGTTTCCGGGTGAGGGTCCAATATCTTCTACGATGTCCAAGAATGTTGGAAGCCAGTGACGACTTTCAGTCTAAGGTTTTGGGTTCGCCACCCAGTATCTCTTGAGACGATTAGGACCATCATGTGCATTTGGGTTCGAGGCCCAATAACTCCTTCTGAACTTGGGTCCCGGTACAAGGATCTTATTCCCATCATACTTTTACTGTGTAGAATGAATTACCCATCATACTTCTGTCACAGTTTTCAGGTGTTGGAGCCGCTTTCCTAGGTGGTGGACAACACTAGCAAGCGTAAAGTCTTGACAGAGGGATGTTTCATTGGACAGGACAGGATTGGTGGCATACTGGAAACCTTGAAATGATTGAGCAACGCTGGATTGGGAGTGCCAAAGGCCGAAGGCTCCAGGCATCCTCTGCTTACAGACATGCGCCCTCCGGATGGCCCCTGGGGGCCGGGCGCCAAAAAAAAAAAAAAAAAAAATTGGCCAGAGATTTTGCACACAAGATTTTTTTTTTCTTTTTTTTTTGGCGCCCCCCCCCCCCCCAGGGCTCCAGGGCTCCAGGCCTCCATACTCCAAGGCCTAGAGCCACACCTTAAGGCCATGCCCTTATGTCCTTGAAAGTTTGTCCCATAACTTTATGTCTCTCGGACCGGTGCTCGGTTATGCCCGAACATTTTCAAATGGTTTGGTGGAATTTGTTGTCAATTCACAACACGTCGTAAAATGTTGTATGCTGCTAAAACAACGTTGCGGGAAGCGAAGAGCTTGCTGAGTTTGCCATATGAGAGTGCAAGTGAAAACACGAACACACGAAAAAGCACGCCACCAGGGCGTGATGTTCTGTAGATTTCAGTGCTTCTGATTCTGGACACTTGGGTAGAAGGTGCGCATGCACCGTGCAGACAAGGTGCAGCGCCGCACCATCGCTCTGCAAGTAGAACAGCCCTCCACTTTGAACGACATGTCGAAGCACCAACCCTCAAACTCAGACTGACTGTGGATTCAGATATGAGCTGGAACTGCTTGGCCCGACTCATCACAAGACGTTTTAGCATTGGCTTCGTCATTGTCTTCGTAAGGTTGCGCCAGTTGATCGAGAGCGTGCCTCGATTGGTCAGGACCTTACATATATCTGGGAGTTCCCGAACTTAAAATAGGGGGACCCTAAAATAGCACCCCAAATAGTAGGATCGTTGTTATAAAGACCCCAAAGTAAGGTTCCCCTCATTTTCGGAAACTCCCAATCTATCACCGCAGCGTTGGGAAACACATCATGGCCTGCGGTGTTTGCAGTGTTCTTCGTTTTTACTAGGAACTGGCAGGGGTTTTTGGAAGTAGAAGTACTAGTAACTAGTAGTAGCAGAAGCAGCCGCAGTCGCAGTCGTAGTCGTAGTCGTAGTAGTCGTAGTCGTAGTCGTAGTCGTAGTCGTAGCAGTAGCAGCAGCAGCAGGAGGAGGAGGAGGAGGAGTAGTCTTAGTAGTAGTAGTAAGTAGTAGTAAGTAGTAGTAAGTAGTAGTAGTACTAGTAGTAGTAGTAGTAGTAGTAGCAGCAGCAGTAGTAGTAGTTGTAGTAGTAGTAGTAGCTGCGCCGTCGTCGTAGTAGCACGGCAGTCGTTCTCGTGGTGCTAGTGCAGCTAGTGCTGTGGCATTCTTCTTCTGCGGGGTGCTCCCTGTCTTGTGTGAGGCTCGGGACTCGAAAGGAGCTCTTCTACTTGCGCAGCATGTTTCGGCGATGGATGCTCAAGGTGCACATGGCCTGAATGCCACGTTACGGTCTGGTTTGGGGACAAAATGTCTCGGCATCGTTGCTGTGAATGGAGTTAAAGAGGTCGGGAGTCATGTGAGGTGTGATTCATGCCACAGCTACTTCCGAAGTCGAAACTGTTCCAATGGCTGTGATGACTAGGACGTGCTGTGTGGAGTGGCCAAACTGTGGTTTCCGTGATTCTGCTTTGCACGGACAAGTTTCAAAAGGTTTGGGCCTGCTGATTGCAGCATTGCGACCCCAAGTGGTGGAGCTCGGCTGTGACGCCTCGGCCACAGGACCGGGGCAAATAACCACGTGTCTACAGAGTCTGAGCAGTGGAAATCAGTCGGCGGCAATCTACCGAGTTGGCATCCTTTCGATTTCTTCCTTCTCTCCCAGTCTAAACTTGAGCCTACAAATCTCGCAACTGCGTTCGCTGCAGTGCCGAATGGCCGCAAAACACACTTGCCACACCAAGAAGATCAGGGTTTTGACATGAAGTGGACCTTAGCCTTGAGGAAAGGGCTCCACCGTCTCCACCTAGCGGACCTAGCGCCTGGCAGGAGTTGTGCAGCAACTCTTCACCGTTTGCAGTGATCGGCCCGCGCTGCGGGCGCAACTGACCGAGAGCCTGGGTGGATCGATCCTCAAGATGTCGAAGGACCGCACAGATGTGCCGCGAGTACGTACACTCTCAAGAGAAGCCAAGATCGAGAGACTAGAACTAGAGCCTCGTGCATTTGCACCTAAAATACCTATATCCTGTAGCCTGCATCTCTCGGCGCAGAGTCGTGCCCACAGCAAGCTGAAGAGGACAAACATGGTTGCGTGGCCATCCAGCATGCTTTGGAGATGGCCCCCCTCGAGATGCAATGCTTGATTGGATCCGAGCTGAAGGGCAAGGTGTCGCTCGGCTGTCAGCTCTTGGCGTTTCTCTGTGCTGCGTGGGTATCGCACTCCCGCGTTAGTCCTTTCCCTGCGGTGCTGTGTGATCCAGGTTCTATTGCAGCCGGCATATGCATGGAAACTTCGTCATGCAGAAGATCATTCAAACCCTACCGCCATCGGCCCTTACCTTCATCATGCTCGAGCTGAAGGACTCCTGCCTACTCCAGGTTTTGTGGGGATTGTGGGGTGAGAGAGGGTGCACAGGAGACGGTGGTGGCAGCAGCGCTTCACATCTACGCTTGCCGCGTTCTTCAGCGCCTCATCGAGCACTGTGGTCACCGCCCCGAGCTCCTGTCGCTCCTCGAGGACCTAATGCTCCCAGGCGGCGGAAACTTCGACCTCAGCTCTCATGAGTATCTCCCATGAGCCTGGCCTGGGAGTTTGGGAGGTGAGCAGCTCCAGCGCTTGGTGAAGGATCCCTACAGCAGCAATGTTTCTCAGCTCAACAGGATCCCAGTCCGAGCAACGGGTGTCTTGGTCTTAGTGTCTTACAGTCTTACAACCTTGATCTTCAGGTGATCCGCACACTTGTGGTGTGTGGCAGTGTGGAGAATGCGCGCGTTGTCTCTCGGACGAGGTTTAAAAGCGTCTGCAGCGCGATATGAGTTGTTGGCAGTTTCAGCGTCCAGGGCCTGGCCTGGCCAAGGTCATGCGGCTTTTCAGCGAGGATGTGATGAAATATTCACGCAACCGGCACGCGAGCCTCGTGCACGCCTAAGGATCCTAGCAGGAGATGTTCTCTCGAGGCTTTGGAAGCGTATGGCTGCGCAGGTATTGGAAAAGTGTTTGGAGGTTTCTGCCGGCCCGAAGGCATCCGAGTTGGCCCAGGACGGGATGAAAAGTCCAAGGCGTAGTTGGTATGGCGGCCTGGCAACTTAACAGACCGGCTGTCCTAACCGGGCGGACCGACAACGGCTCAGCTTAGCGAGGACCGTGCGACATTGATGACGGCCTTCTTCTCTTCCTCCACGCGGAGCGCAAGCCCTCCTCTCTTGCAAATCATGCTGGCCTCTCGGCTTGGAGTTGAAGTGCTTGTGCTCCATGAAATGTAGGTGTTTGAAGCAGCCTCTGGTTCTGGAGAGGCTGTTTTTGGAGCGGTTCCTGGATAACCCCCAGTTGAAATTGAAGATCTCCTTACGATTTACGATAGCTGCAGAGATTAGCAGTGTAGCTGTCTCGTGACTTCATGATAAATCTCATGATTGTGATCCCGGCGGCGTCAAAAGATTGACCCCTCGAGACCCGAAAGCAAGGTAAGTGTGAGTTCTGAAACCCGCGACGCTGCAGGACCGTTTTGGGAATTACATCGTCCAGCGCGTCATTGAGACCAGCACCGGTGCGGAAAAGGACGAGGTCAGGAAACAGCCTCGTGCAACACATCTATTTCTCGATTTCTTATCCATATCATATATCGTGGTCATGTACTGCCATCTTGTGACTGCACGCCAAGAGAGAAACGTAGGTTGGTCCCTCCGTCGTGGTAGCATTGTAGCGTTGCCTTGGAAAGCTAGTAATCGGTAAGTGTTATTGCTACCCGGTATGTTGCAGGTCAAGAGGCTTCTCATGCTTGCGTGGCCAAAGTTACAGACACGCAGCTGCAGCATGGTGCAGAGCACGCCGGCACAACCAAAGTCACTCGAAAATGGCCCGCGCTTTGACCGAGGAATGCTGCCGCTGGGAAGCACATCTTGTCCGCAGCAAACAAGAAGTTCTCTTTCAAGGTCCCGTCAGACCATGTCTGATCTCCAGCAGTCACTCAACACTCGATGGCACGAGACTTGCTGAAACGATTGGGCCAGCAGGTTCAATGATGGCAGCGACGGTTTGGAGACTTGCCGCTGTGGCTCTGAAAATTTTCGCGGCTTTAACCTGAGTGCCCGAGTTCACTGAGCGTGTCCAAATTTCATGCGATCAATAGAAAGGAAAGGTGCCGGACGAGCAGTCGCATGCAGGTAGCATGCTTTACAGCAGCGCACTGATCCAAGATGATCTAAGGACAGGAGATGAAGAAGGTGCACGCTTGCATAGCCCTTTCGTAATGATCAGCCAGTTCGCGACAGCGGCAGCCTTGAACTGAATTCACCGTATCCCCAGTATCAGGGACGTTGGGGAGGGCATGATGCAGCGCGGAAGTTAACTGGAATCTAGTCAACTATTTAGGCTACCCTCGCGAAATCTGCCCTGGACACAAGGAGGGTTCGGATGAACTGTGGAAGCATGCCTTCTTCAAGCTGCACAGACCAGTTCAGGTTGGACGATAGAGAAACTGTTTGAAATCAAGCCCGTTTGAACAGCGCTGCTGTGTCTGTGACGTGGATGGACGCGATTGACGTTGCACACCGGCAGCTTTTGCACAGGGACAAGGGCGAGGATCTGAAGAAGAGTATGCTTTGGCAAACATTTGTCTTTTCTACTAGAGCGTTTCCTTTTCCTCATGGCCCGTGAACATGAACAGGGGGGCATCTCAGCGCCTTACCGCCCACGAAGCATTCCTCATCCCGGTACACCCAATCCGCCGGAGACGGGACGTGTCGTGGACCATTTTTGTCCTGGCGCAGAAGTCCTTGTGGACTGCCCAGCCCCCGATAGTGTCTGTGCCCATCTTTTGCATTTTCGGGAACCTTCCCAGAAGCTGGAGCTCTTCCGATTGAAGGAACAGCAGACAGCACTTGCCCAGATTTTAAGTTGCGTTGGTCATGAACGCATGCTCGACATGCTTGACCATTCCCTCGGTCCTTGAAGGCTCGACCTACATGTTGTGATACGCAAGATTTCTGTCATGCCTCTGCTGGTCAGCCTTGGGATTCCTTCGGTACCGGAGCATTAGCTGCTCAGCCAGCCGAAGGCATCCAATCATGCGGAACTTCAGGGTGCTACTGGTAATCTTTTGATTTGAATGATCTTTACGGCCGCTTAGCGTGGCTACCCGGCTTTTGCGGAAGCCGGGAGCCACAGAAGCAAAAGCCATCGAAATGGTACCTGCCAGAGACCGCGATACTTGCGTGCTGTGGTGACGGCTGTCACGCTCCTTGCTGACTGCCAAGTTTAGACATGTCCTTATATTATATCATGGCGAAGTTTAAGGTTTGCATGGTTGCATTTCAGGTTCTCATTTTTGGCGATCATTTGGTGGAACTGTAGCAGCAGCAAAGATGCGAGTGTGCGTACGTCTACTCGGCTGCCGAGCTGGACGATGGCATACATTGAAAACCGTCGCTGTGGAGCCTGTATCGTGTTGATTCCTCGTCTCGTGGCTTGTCTTTCAAGGACGACTGTGACTCCTTCACTAAACCCCGCCCTGACTGCCAACGCACTAAGAAACCAGATGGTACTCATCAGGTAGCACAGCAGGGCCTGGGTTTAGAACGAATCCTCATCACGGCACTTCTGTGCCAACTTCACAACTGCGAAGAGGCATCGTGGGTGGTCGACGGGAAAGATTGAACGACTGACTGTGACGGACGCTTGCTGTTGCAGATGTTGAGATTTCCGTCCGGGACCCCACACACACCAACGAATCATGGCATACGCATGATACGCCTCAGTGTTTACTTTTTTAATTTGCGTGCAGCAACTGTTTCAACGAATTCGACTTTGATTAGGTATTCGGACGATCGCTGAGCAGGCAATCAAGACTTTCAGGGGGCAGACGCCTTTTCGGCGAAGGACAGCAGCCGACCAGACCGGCCAGATTCGTAGGCAAGTCTGAAGTGAAGCGAGATCTACACTAGGAGAGATCTACACCAAAAGAATCAGGTTCCTGGCCTACGCCACGGCCCTTCTGGGGTTTGCATGCCTTCGCAGCGGAAGCTCAACGTCTTTGCTTGAAACATGGAGATCGCCCGGGTACGCCCCAAGGCCTGTTGCCAGATAAAGTCCTATCTACGTCATACAGTGAGTGCATGTTATAGGCGAGGATAAGGATGCCTTTGATGTGCATTGGCTTTGTGATCACGTTAGTGCTTTCTGCACTGTGATAGTTTGTTCGCTTCTCCGTCTGACTTGCCTGGATAGTTTTGTTCACATCTTCCGCACCTGCTTGTCCCAAGCTTGCCCTACAGGCAAGAGTCTATGTCTATGATGCTCACTTGCGTCTCGTCTTCTTCTGCGGCTGACATGCGTTCTTTTTTAGAAGCGCTCTGGATTGCTTGCCTGCTAGTCGGTGTGCGCAGGTTTAGATCGGCAACAGGTGCAGACGCGGTGCATGGTGTTTAAAAAAATTCGTTCCTTCGACGGCCTATAAGTGGAGGCCACATTCGCGCGGGCGGGGCAGTGACTCGCTTGGTAAAAGTTGTATGCAATGCAAGCGTAGTCTTTTTGTTTGTGTTAATGTTGGCACAAGTTAGCAATTTACAATGGTCATCAATGACGAATGTGGAGCCACTGCGCAGCCCAGCTTTCCCAATGTGTTAGCTCGCGTGCTCAGGCGTTGCTGCACGAGACCCCGGAATGTTGGAATGCCGAGAGTCGAAACGGGCTTTGTGTAACTTGTACGGGCAGTGCGGAACGCATGGAGATCATGGAGAATCGGTGCCACTTTAAAACCAGACGAGGCGAGTCCAGGGCTCGGCCAGATTGAATGCCTCTGTGGCCCTGGCCTCGCGGGATTGATGTCGATCCTGACGCACACATTACACGTTACTTGGGGTAGCCAAGCTTGCACTTGCCAGCGAAATTTCGTTGTCTGTGCAGAACAACATCCAGTCTTTCAGACAAGTGTGTATTCAGGTAAGCGACGAGACCGGCGAGAAATGCCAGAAAAGCTTGCAATCCTGCTCCCTTCCTCTACCAAAGGCCCCTCCCAGAGGTCCCCCGCCTCCCGTCCTTCTCCCTCGCCAATCTTCAATTCCCTTTCATTGAGCGATCAGCCATGGGTGTGATAGATAGTTTCTGCGATTCAGGACTACGGGTTGGAATTAAAGGAGTGAGCAGGTTGTCTCTTCATGAGTAACCGTAGCTACCGAAGATCTCCGTTGTTCTCATTGCGTTCATGAGCAGAAGATGGCTTGCGGTGCCAGGGGGAGTACGTTCAGAGCAGTGGCCAGACCCAGACATGGCAGCAAGATGCCGGCAGAGGGACGAGACCTTGGCTCACTGCAAGGATGAACAGTCATGATGAATCCTGAAAATCATGCAATGATTTTGGCTGCCCGGTCCCAGGCTTCTGTACAGCTACCAGGACCGGATGGGCTTTGGGAAGAAGGCTGCAGCCCTTCCACACCTGGCAATCCTAAGCGACTTTGATTAGCTCTCCGAGGGCTGCAGCTCTTAGGCGCACGTTGAGCCCTTACAGACGGGAGCAAAACGGGGTGGCGGTATACAGGGGACCCGAGATTTATCCGTCTAACGTTGCCAGGATGCGCCGTACAGTGGCATACCTGGGGCTTACGCTTGACCGATCCTTTTTGGCAGGTTGATTTTGTGTTTGTGTCCTGTTTGCTGCTGGTGCGGTTCCTTTTCCACGCTGGGAAAGCTCGTGCAGGTTTGGTGCTGTGCTCTAGGCTCCGATGGTGCCAGCCTAGAGCACCTGCGAAATCGCTCCTTAATGCGCCCGGTAGTACTGCACACGGGATGCAGCAATTGTCCTCTCAAAAAACCCTCGACCGCCCCCGAGTCTTCCTTCTGATTCTGCTTGTCAGCTTGTCGTTGCCATCTACTGAAGCTGATCTGTCGCCCTAACCGTAACGACTCGTACAAAGCAATGGAAGACATGTTCCAAAACCGGGCGACTTTTGCCATGTCCGAAGCTGCAAGATCGATGCTGACTTGCATCCAGGGCTAAAGGTCGATGGTGGGGATGCATCAGATTGGCCACTCTCATTGACACTGACATGCGAAACGCGTGCCGGCTGGATGCCAATACATTCCAGCTCAAGGGACGGGGCTGGCCAGATTTTCAGCAGCCGCGCAGCCGCTGAGGGTTTAGGGTCTCTCAAGTCTGTGCACAAATTCCAGCGAAGATTTTGCAGGTTGTGGCCTGGCCTGGCCAGACTTGAGTCGAATAGCACAAAACGAAGAGACCGCCAGCGTAGCTTGCCCCGGCCACTTTCACACGGAAGCAACCTCACCTTGAAGGGGGGCTGCGAGTTTGGCCTTTAAATTTTGCATGCGAAGCATTGTCTCGGGTGGGTTTGCCGGCTTCCATTCCAGCGAGAGTGCTTTGGGTCGGCTCTGACGAGCATACGGCATGCTTTAGACCCGTTGTTCAGGAGGGTGCTGATGCTCCGCGGTGGGCGATCGCAGAAAGCCGGGACGCGATGGTCGGTGGAAACCCTTGCTTGCGAGGCCACTGCGTAGTCTGTCTGAACCGGAGCTCCTCTCGCTGAGTTCATTTAAGGCGTTTGGCCTCACGGTGGAGCGCCACCTTCGGAGATGCGCTGGCAGCAGCTGGAGGGTGGGAATTGTGAAAATTTGAGATCTGCATGTTGACATGGATGCGGCTGGTCCCGTGATGCAAAACTCTCTAAAGGGTACGTCGACCGAGATGAGGACCCCAAATAACTTGCACAGAATTTGAAATCAAAGGGTCAGATTTGTATGATTGGAGCGGAGGCGTCGGGAGGCAGCTGCCATTCCTCAGGGTGATGTAGCTGATAATCTGTTTTGAGCATACGCCCGTGAAACCGACTCTGTACATGGGGTATGGCTGCTGTAATGTGTTGTGTCGCCACTGACGTGTGTGTTGATGACGTGTTTCCGCAATCGAGTGTTTGCACTGGGAATGGCTAGCTCTGATGGGCAGTGCTGCCACTGATGCGTGTCATATGGGGCATGGCTGGGTCACCAAAGTGTTTTGTTCCAGCGGGCACAT